CCCCTCTCCCCCTCCCCCCCCCCCCCTCCTTCCCCGCTACCATTCTCGCACACTCCTCATCTACGCCAGAAATAAAACTCACGCTGCCATACCAAACACCCCCACCCCCTGACACCAGCATCCAACCTCTGTTCCAGCCATTTCTGATCCATTGTAATTTTCGCGGATTTTCCCCAGAAAATCCAAGATTGGAATTTGTTTTTATATCGCCCCACTCTTTCTCACCCTCCGTTCTCTACCCCGTAGCCCCCCTTCCTCCTCCACCGAACAGTACACCCTTGCACGTCTCGCACACCTATGTGTTTCACCAACCCACCTCAACCCATGACCCCCCCCCGACCCTCTCTCGAGAATACATTCCCTATCACGTATCTACCATCTTCTTCCCACTTTCCGCCATTCTGCCTCTGGGCCAACGACGTTTCAGTCTCAGCACCATTTCACCGTTGCCATTTCGCGGCCTTTGCCTTATGTATCTTCTTGCCTGTGAATTACAGCTCGCGCGAATGTAATACTTTGTATTTATAGGTGAAATAAATTTGTCCACTTTCATTCGGGCTTTTTCGGCTTTCCTCGGCTTTTCGTGATACGATCGAAGCTAGATCTTCGAGAAATCCACACCCGATCTTCCTATCATTTATGATCCCTCGTAAGAGGATAGTGACACTGAAAAAAAAAATGGTTTTATTTTTATGTAACGGAATAAAATAGCTGCTTACGTGGAAAAGGGTTGCTTACGTAATACCTGAGGGATGATTGAACTTAGAAAACTATTAGTAGGACGTCAAACGGAGACTGGTATATCTCGAAAAATATCTGCACTTTCGTCTTGTATGTCATAAAAATTCTATGTATTTGAGCGCATGCCTGCATTAATCATCAACTGGGATAGTTCGTTGGCAACAGACAGAGTTGAGGTCCATAATTTTTGTTATGCTGTCCGAAGATACGGTAAATTAGACTAAGAGCCAATTGGGAATTAGTCACTCGTTAATGGAGTTTACGGCTGTTTACAGAGACTTTTATATCGCTGCTAAGACTATGCGTGTAAATACAGACGATAGAGAGAGGCATCAGGCTGCACGTTAATGCTCATCTTTCAACCCTAAAATAGGCCCGTGTAGATGTAGTCGGTATTGGAGGGTTTGAAGTTTTTTTGGGGTTGGGCTTCTACCGTAGGGTTGGTTTCTACGACGAGATACAGGAGGGTGAAGACGATGTCAAGGGGTACCATCCTCGAGAGCGACTAAAAATATCCAAGCGGCCGATGTCCTTGTCGAGTTAAAACGACGCCCTTACGTCACCCTTCCGCCAAGCGAAGTCTCTGTCTTAACACCTGGTGCGTTCCGTCTAGGGACGCCGGGCGTCGTCTCTCTCTCTCTCTCTCTTAGATCCCTGTTTCGGCATTGCCGGGAGCCTCGTCCTCGGGTCTCCACCCTCGGGCAGAGACGACGATCGACCTCCGCATAATTATATCGGCGTCGCGACGCCTTCGAGGTCGGTAGCATTTCTGGCCGAATATTTTTTAAGTCATTTGCTCGTAGAATGCGATTGGAATTCCACCTCGTTCCAGTTCCACTCACTGACTTCCTTCCTGTTACCACGAGCGATACCAGCTACCCCATCCAGGACTCCTAAGACCCCCCTAGGACTCCTCTCGAGCCACGTTCCTCGAGGAAGGCTTTGGGAGGCTTTTGCTTTGACCTTTATCGCAGATCTATACGATCTACGATCTTTCCATCGAATATTTATTTATTCATGAGCGAGGACAGGGTCGGTGCTGCTTCGATCGGGGGTAGTTTTGTGCTGAGGTGAGGCGGAGCCAGGGGATGACGAGCCTTGGCTTTTTATTGTTTCTTATCCAATATCTTCTTACTCTCCATTAAAATGATTTGTCCCTCTCTGGTTTCTATCGACGTAGCAAAACAAATTCTCACAATAGTTATTTAGTATTAACATAGAAATAGTATCGTTACTAAATATACAGTCATACCCGAAAAAAGATCTATAAATAGAAAAAGCAGAGAAACCATATACTACGTATAGTAAGAAAAATAATTGTCGAAAAGATATAGTGTAAGAATATATACAAATTATATCAATACCTTCTCAATGAGTATCTATCGTACTCTCTAATGATTTCCACAAGTAACGTAATCCTGTGAAATTAAATCATAGATGCGTCGTGATCCAGTCAACAGTGCACTTAACCCTCCAACACTCGTGTGAAGCTTAAAAGACAGTAGAGATCTTAAATTATTTGCTCCAGCGGAAATATATATTTTTTTTCAATTATTTATTTATAATTTAAGCGTAATTGTAATAAATTATTTATAACAACAGTAATTACTAGTGTGGAATAATATTTTTGATTTGGTTATCGATATATTGCATTAACAAAATAGTCTTTACGAACCCCACGCCAGTACCAGTGTTACGAAATGCGACGCGACTGCTGAAGGGTTAACGATAGACATTTCGCTTCGTGCAAAGCGTTCAGCCCTTCCATCACTCAATGTATTTTCGTTCAGTTGCCCATCCTCTAACCAGGCCACGTAACGCATTCCATACTTCTGAATTCAGCTTCCTCCTGTTTTCAGCATCAACAGGGTAACATTCGATGTTTCGAAATGAATCCCCAGGAAGCAAGGACGTCGACATTGTCATCGGCAGACAGAAGCGACAGAAGTAAAAGTGCTTTTTGAGTGCAGTCCCAGCTGGGTTCATTAGTAGACTGAAGTAGCGCATGCCGTAAGGGCCTTTTGTACTTGGATGCTGTATTCGTGATAACTCTTCTTCGTTCTTAGTGTACGACAGAACCGCGACCCTCTTCTCCTTCCACGACTGCCGCCGCTACATAGTCCTGCATTTCATCCTCTGGCACATCCTCACTCACACAACCACCACCGCCATCGCTATCATCCAACTTTTCCGCTGCTTCACTCTTTCCTCCGAGACCCTTGAGCACGCGCCGAAAAAGTTCTGTCGCCCAATCGCCATGGCGTCGCCCGAGGAAATCACTGGACGAAACTTTCGAGCTTAGTCGAACGGTATACTTCGCGTGACTCGAGAGGGCGCCAGTCTCGCTCGCTCAGACTAGTTCTCGCGCATGCGCATTGGACACAGGACAGACATAACTTCGCGAAGGAGACGAAGTGAGATACAACGACACACAAACTTATAAAGGTTGTGTAGATCCAGTGCAGAGGAAAGAGAGTCCTGGCCCGGTGCCGGAGACCGATGGAAGTGAAAGTCTTTTGCGGAATAATGACAGATAATCACTGGGGATCTTCATCGTCAGCTTTCTGGATACTACTTCGTTCAAGCTTCGATTACGGTGCGCCTGGTGAATTTCGATGAACTTTTAGAAATCTTGCTCAAGTACATAAGAATCCTGGTCGAGGAACAAAGCAGGCTATATATATATATTGGGATGACCTGGAGGTGATCCATGGGTTTGGATCAGGTCGGAAGGTGGTGCGTGTTCTCGTGGAAGGTTTCGTGCGATTCCTCGAAGGGAGATCGAAGGGGTCGGGCTTGGAGCCGCGTGTCTTTAATCGCTCTGAAATTTCAGGCCAATAAAACTTCGGTAACAACGCTATCCCATTACCATGATAAAACTGAACAATTAATATTGTATTAGCTGGTAGCATTGTATATTCGGCGGGCTAAGGTTGCTACTCCTGGCCCGAAAAAGGAGCTGAGTGATAGACGTGGGAATTTCACATGAACGAAATCGTGTACTATATATGTATGTACATATATACCTATACTGTTTGAAGTCTATATACCGGGTGGCTCATTTATCTACATTAGCCGTTCCATATTCGCCGGGCCTGATTGGACTTTTTAGACGTCTGCGGCGACCGTGAATATTAAATTTAAATTAATATTTTGGTTCGGCCTTAATGGCGGTTCATTTATCAAAAGCTTGCCGACAGATACATTGCTTTTTGCTGTGAGTCTCTGCGATTCTGTAATTCATGGTCGAACGGGAGTTACGAGAATCGAACACGGCGATTGGATACACTGCAAGCTAGTAACGCGTGGAAATAAAAAGTACATAACGAAACGGTACTAGAACTGTTAGTGCAAACGAGATATATATATGATCGTTTATGGGAATCGGCACTGTATTAATTTTTTCTTTTTTTTTTCAATCGCACATTTCTACTCGCGTATACGCTTTATTATTCCAAAAATTTCGTACATTTCCGCAAAATTTAATTTCAACAACGAATTTTCTACATGAGTGTTACACTACGGTCTACGAGTGGCACAATAATTATAGGAAAATCGGTTTAACCGTCCTTCTGCCGATGTAGCCTGAAAATGAAAAATGCGCAATATGAAACAATTGTTATCCGAGTTCGTCAGAAAATTCGATAATTGGAGCGTCCAGCGTATGCAAAGCAAATCGTACAGTCGCTCTCGAATAAACGGATATCGAGTCCAACAATAATAATTATACCCCTCCATTATATCATGAAAATAGTAGAATGCCAAGCATTTTCAAATGTCACGCGTTGTATAACGACGGGATATAAATGCCGATTTCAGTTGCAAGTGATGTTATTGCAAGTTCGCCGACTAAACGGTATCCCTGGGTCCCAAAGGTCATTCGACGTGTCACGAGTGCGTTAGCAGCGCCAGGGAACTCGTAGTGGCAGTTTCACCAAACTGGAGAAACTTGACTATATCACCGCTTCGAAAACTCCGGCGCAAGACGACCGAATGCGATTACGTAAATTTCCACGCAAGTAATGTCAGACTGGAATCGAGTGGACATGCCGTTGTCGCACCTACGAATCCGCCTTCGTGTCACTTCGTGTCTTTCCGCCGTTTCGACAAAGTGTATATTTACACGGTGAAAAAGCTACCGTGGACCGTTCGACAAAATGGCAGTGGGCCAACCCGGTGAATACGCGGCTGGAGCCGTATATGACATACCCAGTGTACGCGAGATTTCGAGATCGTGAAAGGGGGCAGCAGGGGGGACCGAGAAACAGATTATTCAAGGGTGAGACTTGAAAATTCAGGAGGACTGAGAGCCCAGGGGGTGCGGATAGTATGAAAATGTAAAATCCTTAGGAAAATATTCACCGCCCATAATCGCTACGAGGTAACGTCGTCAGCTTGAATCAACATTCGTGTCTCCTCTCATCCCTTTGGTCGCCTCATCCCTTCGACGACACAATCCCCCCGAGAACCCTACGCTCCTTCTCCGTCATCAAGATTTCTTTCTCTTTTGCACCCTCTCCTCTCGCCGCGTGCGAGTGCGACGAAAGGGAAAAAGGACGAAATTTCATTTTTGATATTTTGCATAAATCTAAAAGGTGTCGCAGACCGTTTGACTCGTTCGTATTCTGCGCTTCACGCATACCTTTTTACGGCTTCGTGTCGCTGTAACCAAGAGAAATGCCGGTAAATTATATGAGAATTTAAAAACATTACTACGGACCATTCGAATTGCTCATTTTATATCTTTATTTTACTAATTATTATTATTAGCTGGTATCCAGGCCAAACGTTCTCTCTCTCCCTCCTTCGTACAGTCTTTTTATTCAGTCTGCCGCGTCTACAGGACTGATCGCCCAGAGATGCCATCGCCTTAATCTTCTGTCGCACGTCGATGAGCTGCCAGCGTTGAACAACAGCCTGGAACATTCGGCAAACCCGAAGCTCCCGTTACGTGACTCGCGCCAGGATTTAAGGATAATTCGTGGTTGCCAAGGTGTCCTGCGGGATCGATGCAATAAGTACAGGGTATTTTTTGCGAAGATATAATTTTACAGGAAAGCATAAAAAAAGCGTAAGATATTATACGAAGGTACTTTTGGATAGATTCGCTTTAGTGCCAGACCCCTCCCTCTCTTCCTTCCCCACCCTCTCTCCGCGGACATGCTGATAAGACGCGTCCGCCATTTTACCTGTCTGCCTATCGGGGCTTGAAAAGCTTCAGCTAAAAGCTTAATTTTTTATTCTCTCCGCTCTCTCTCGAGAGAGCTGATGAAAATAATATCGCCTATGGTCTCTCTGGTCTGATAATAATTCATGGCAGCGTCGGTATACGAGGTAAAGTTCGTCGGATCGCTTTCTTTTTTCTTTTTTGATGGATCGCCCTTTGTAGAATTAGTTAATAGGTAGATATACATATATTCTATGAAGTGTACACCCGACAATGGCTTTTTAAATCGCTGATGGGAGATCAAATAAAATGCCGTACCTGAGAGCGCGCCAAGTGAAGAGAAACGAAGTGGGATGGAATTCCTTTTAAATTATTCCCCCACGTTAATGCTAACGAATGGCCATGATAATGTATGCGCGTTTCCTCAATTCAGTCTTTAGCATTTCTGATCTATTCAGGATTGGCATTGGATTATATATATATATTTCATAATTCGGTTCTCGCTCAGGATGCACCTTATTCTCCTGCTGCAATGCATTTCGAGTCCAAGACGTCGATGGGAAATTCTGCATTATTACGATGAACGTCATACACGTCATACCGCCCACATACTGAATCCGCCGTAGCGCGATACCTCCTTCCGGCCATTTAAACCTTGAGGAATTCAACGCAAACCCTCTTCAGTCCTTCCGAGTTCGCGAAATATAAATTTTTATCAACTACGTCCAATTCGAACGTTTCTACTTGATAACGCGATATACGTTCCACTATATCGATTGGCTCTCAGTCCGCGAAAGGCTACTTGGCTCTGGCGGAAAGGCACAATGTGTCTTGTACTAGGTTTTTATTTTTTTTTCCTATCTTCCTATACCTATAATGTAGATATACATATGTATATATAGGCTTATCAATGGAACCTTTTTCACAGGAACTCCTACCTAAGTCGATACACGTGGCTGTTGGATACTTTGGTTGAAGGATGCTTACTAAGGGACATTTTGAAGTATGCAAAAGATTCTTAACTTAAATTCTTTCCCGGACGGCTTGAACGGCCGAATTTTTGGAGAGAGGAGAGAATACGGCGTGTGTCGAGACGATAAAGGAAAGAGACGGGGCGACCTGGAGCAGCGTCGGAAAGAGAGAGAGAGAGGGGGGGGGCACTATATGATATAAAGATAGAGACAGATCGGTGAGTTTTTCAAAAATTTATGGTCTGCAATCCATTGGTCTTATGAGCACGCTAAGTCCTGAAACGCGTGGTCTGGGTACCCACACCGGAGGCGTCGGAGTCCCAGATAGCAAACTGTCCGCGAAATCCAGATGGGCGACGGCCAATAAAGGCTCTTCTATATATTATTTAAGTGGCAGTTTTTACAGGTGCTGTACGTGGCTCCGCCGGATCACCATAAAATTCGCACTTTGAAAATTTTGATCCTTCCCTGGATCTATGGCTACCGTTGGGCACCTCTTGGACTAGGTGGACCAACCTGAATAGCCGTTCTGATACCTGGTGCAAATCATCCCCCCTCCTCGTATTTTTTATCTATAGCTACCTAGTTCATGGGACATGGATTCCTGTACAGCTGACAATGGTGGCATTGTTGAAAATAGGAAGAAATTTCGATGAGGCCCAAAAGGGGCTCGGATCTCTTCCACTCTTATGGCTATCCTTCTTTTAGCCCTCTCTCTATTTCACCTTTTCGTACTATCTCTCTCTTACGATTTTTCCTTATTTTTCCTTAGGATCACCACGAGGAGGTCGGCTATTAACAAGGAACGACGTGGGCCAGGTAAAGGGGCGCCTTGAAAAATGGTCCTAATAGAAAGGATGCCCCATATATTAGTGTCCATTGTGCCTATACCTACGTATGTCCGTATATATGGCATATACCAATAGCCATCACGTGCTATGTATGTGTATATATACTTATATACTAAGGGATATAGATTACCATGTGGTATATAATATACACGAACACGCAGTCAGATATAATCCTGTTTGAGTCTCATGGAAAATATATTTCGGTTATTTTACGAAAGGGCGCATTATGTTCAGTGGGCGCACAAAGCTCGCTGCGTGCCAATAATTTTTTCATTCAGCATGGTTATACGACATAGCGCAGCGAGAGTATCGATAATTCTTTCTGGAAAAATTTGAAAATTTTTTATAATTCTTGAATTTTACCAAAAGAGAGACTGTAAAGAGATTTCGTAAAGACAAGAATTCAAGATAAAACTAGAGAAACTTTTTATTTACATTTATTTTGCAACTCACTGATAAATGCGAATTAGATGTTTGATACTCGACGTTATCAGATCTTGATATCGATTTCAAATTTTACTTATGCAACTGGTAACATATTGTCGGGCAATTTGCACCCCTGATTTACCCATACAGGATCACTCGTCTGCAAAAATGCAGTCGAACGTGAAATGAAAATTTATTTAGGTAGTTTTGAGCTCGGTTGCTCGTATTTTTACCTACGTCTAAACTGGCGATTGGATCGTTGTAAATTAACTCGACAGCTGCTGCTCTTTTTCAAAATCTTCAGGACAACGAGCACCGATCGGGTGGTTGTATTTCCATTGGGTTTTGTTATATGTTGTCGCAGAGGATTTTTGTATTCAATACACATATATATACATATAGTGACGTATCTTTTCGATTCACGGTCACAACGCGAGTTCAGCTACCGATCGAAGATAACGTCCCCGTTTTTCGGTTTCCTACCAGTCGCCACCCGGAACAGAAGCTACGCTCTCCGATTGATTCTAGCAGTTACGCCAATGCTCTCGAAAGACTTGTTGTTGCTTGGTTCAGGTCGAGGTGCTCAACTCTGCCGTGAGGAGATAGTCTGGACGTATCGAGTTGCCCGGCAGAGTATGGTACTTGACGGAGACGTCTCCGCGGACCGGCCCGGGTGAGACGCTGGCGCCCCGTTAGAAAGAGCCAAGGGGCTGCGGAGCTTTGATACGGTTAAGGGCAGAGGAGGACCCCCCTGATCCAAGTTATGGTTGTAGGGCCCAGCTGCCGCCCGATGCCCTGAGGAATCGACCGTGAAGAATCTCCAAGAGTCACGTACCGATTCGTTAAGAAACGCTCTCGATTCGGTTTAAAGGGACTCGAGGATAAGAGTTATCGACTGCAAGGATCTCGACCAATCGGAATTATTAGTTCCCGAATTTGACTACTGTCAAAGCAGTCTGTCTTGGGACATCGATCTAGGTGCCTGGAACTGGCTCGCGCTCCCGTGCTATCTGTTGATAGTTTCTCTATCTGTGTTTCCTGTACGGCATAGAAAGTTTTCGCTTGTGTAGTTCTCGCGTGGCGCTCGCGATATCCAGAAAATACTACAGACTTTCTGCGGGTGCTTCGGAGGTGCAGTGCTGTCCTATAGTGCTGTGCCCACCTGGGTGTCTACTGGATGCAGTTCTCGGCCTTCACGGATTAGCTGAACCAGCTCCGGTGAGTACTCTCAATTTATTAATTGGCGGAGGGATTTCGAGCTTATAGCTTCCGACACACTCGGTTACGTTCTCGATCAATTATTCTCTGTTTCCGGCACTATTTACATGATGCTTACTCCGACCTTCTCTACCTCAACCTAGCAGCCTGAGCGGCCGTGCATTTTCGTAATTCTTCGCCTCCGTTCGTGCATCCAGTTGCGTTTGCTGATTTTACGCGACCCCAAAGATCAGCATGTATGGTTGATTTTTTCGATTTTACGCGTTTTCAAAAATTCGGCAGCATCCGTTAAGCTACCGTCTTTTCTGATAGGTTCCATCAGAGTTCTCGTTTTGGGGTATTGACTAATTCGACCTTGTGCCAGAGGACCGCTGACTCAGGGGGCGATCCTGAAAATTCCTAGAATCAGCCTTCGATTCAAACCTCGATTTAGCATGGACACGAACCTTCGAAGGCTCTCGAAGTGTCGGTAAATGTCAGTGCAGGAATCTTTGTCTAGAACCCCCCTTGTTATACTGTTACGAATGAATATACTATACATATATATATCCTTTCCACTTCTACTGCATGTTTGTCATTCTGTCAAGAAGAATAATCTTTTTTTTTTCTTGATTCTTGTATCGACACTCGACTGGATAAGCTTCTGGAATTGTCGTTTATATCGCATCGCATTTATCGTTTCGTCATTTGATACGATGCTCAGTATATTCGGGATTCAGAGTGACATCAAATTCAAGCGAGACATTTTTTTTCTTGTTGAAAATACACTGTATTATAGTCAATGTTACGGCATGCTTGATAAATTCTCTATGATAACAGTTATACCGTGTGTCTGTTTATACTCGCATTATTACATCCCACTCGCACACGTCAGAGCAGACAGTCACGCATAGTAGGACAATAAAATTGATAGGGAGCGCGTGCAGACCAAAATAAACAGGAATTTTTATTTATTTTATTTTTCTTTTTTTTTTTCCTCCAAGTACCTAAAATATATTTTTCTAAAGTGATTACACGTTTTTTTTTTGTACATTGAAAAAATACAATATCGTCTACGGAAAAGCACTGCATTTTTTTCATCAAACCGTTAGCCTCATGGAGCGAATTCGAACTTCCATTTTTTTGGGGGAAATTATAGTTTTACTACTGGATCCGGCGGTGAGAATATTTATAATAATTTTAGGCCTTGTTTTGGGAAAAAATTTTAAAACTTTGTAGAAAGGACATTTTAATAACGCGAATTAAATTCCGTGATTAAGTATCTGTAATCTCTCTATGGCTAATTGGGTGTATTGTATATTGAGCGACAGTGAATACTAGTCGTTGTGATGAAATGTCGCTGATTAGTAATTGGCTCAGACTGTTAACGTTAACTGGTACCATTAAGCTGCCCCACGCACGTAGCGTATTCACGAAGGAGCATTAAGTGTCCCCCACAAAGCGACCGCTCTCTTATATTCAACATTGAGCCAATTAACATTCAGTCGGTCGCGATATGCGTTCGCGCCTTAAGAAATACGTACTCAAAGGACGTACAAGGGATAAATATAAAGATCATCCTATATGTTCTATTAATAACTGTTCTAATAAACATTGTTGCATTCATGGAAACTGCCGGGACGTTCATTGGTCGAGGCTAACGATTTTAAGCAATGATGCACCCTGTACGACATTTATATTTTGGCTGACGCACGCTGTCACACGTGGTCGTCCTGCCGTTAGGAAGAAAATAGCAAAGAGAATTCTCGTCCACGAATTTCTCATTTGACTTCTTATTCGATAATGCTAAACTATTTCCAGTGCTATGGTCGTCCGTATTTTCATATAAGACTTTTAAGACCAGGAGTAAACAAGACTTTTCTCCTTTTTAGTAACAGATTTTTAAATTTTAATCCCTTAGACTTTACAAATTTCCTGTTATCCATGCACTAAGAGATGTTTATTTGTGCACACTGTATTTCATTTATATATATAAATCGGGCGCCATGTTTTTATTTGTATCACCCATTAGAAGCACCATTTTCTTTTTTGATTCTATTGTCGAAATTCTACTAGACGTCTTTGAATTATTTATAAGTACGTATCAGAACTTTGTTTCTTCAGCAGTCAGATTAAATTTTATATGTAAGTATATATTATATGTATGTCATGTATATAATTACAAGAGTCTGATAAGCTTATTAAATTTGAAATGATAATATAGACTCTTCTAGAAAGACTCTTGAGAACTTTCAAATCCTAGAATGCATTTTAGAATGGACGTACTTCACTACACTCTGCATACGGGTTCCCCTTTTTTTTCTTTTTAAGAAATTTATAGCCCATACGTAGAACAGCTGTCCACCTAACGTGATATTTTTCACAGGTTATCACGACGTGTTTTTGTAGCTAAATCTAGTTTCTAGTTCTAAATCGTTTTGGTTGAATGGGACGAGACAATTGAATAATATTTTTTCTAATAGATTTTTAGGTTCACTCGGCACCGTAGTTAGAGGCAAATCTCACCCAGTGATTTTTAACGAATTAACGTTATAACAATTTCTAATGATATATATTACCAACAACGTCCTCTCTATGTATCTATGTATAGTCCCCTGTAACATTATACTAATGCTTACTAATTATTTTTACGTATCTGTGGCGAGTCAATACGACCTGTTGATCCTGGAGATAAATTTAAAAATTCTTAATTTCATTTTAGTCATCAATAATTGAGATATTCAATTCACTTGTGCGTTGTTTTATCATGGCATACGATATGGACCAGTCTGAGATTCTTCACGGTGAAAAGATTTTCATAAAACTCCATAACCTCGTTCTTGTTGAGGGTATCCTTTTCGGAGATTTTCAATAAACTCGGTATGATCGTTCTTGATCTTTCGATTCTGTAAAAATATTAAAAACTGTTGTTACCTTCAGTCCGGACACGAACCACTTTCAGGATAACTTACTTGTGATCCAAATTCCACGTGGAGAATAAAATTAACTCTTCGCGTGAATTATAAGGATTTATTTTGTGCTTATTTTCATAAGAACAGCTTTCCAGATTCCAACGTCCATCGCATTTAAACTCTCCTCTGGAATCACATAGAGCTACCTGCTCACGGCCACCAGATGGTGACACCTCGTAAGGACAACGGTCATCAAAATTTTCAAGAGGAGTGACGTCACGCGACCGTTTTGCATCAATCTCATCTTCACTAATTTCATCTGTTTTATCTATACGAAAACGATCCTCTTCAGCTTCCTTGTCTAAGCGTGCAATTTTTTCTCGTCGATTGCAAATATCGAATTGGCTCCTCAATAGAGCTGCTTCCTCAGATGGCAACGTAAATGGCCGCGCATATCTTCTGTCAAAGTAAAATCCAAAATAATTGTCCTCCTTCAGTTGCATCTTAAAGAAGGTTATCATATGATGAAGATTTTGTTTGGCTATACTGTCATTAATGTACGGTTCTGATGATTTAATCTGATCAATTGTTTTGTAAAGGTAACCACGTATGCGGTCCTGACATCTTCGGTACAGATAGGCTTCCTGTTAAGTAGAAACGTAAAATAGTAACTGCCGATAAAGAATTCTTGTAAAATATTATAATTTCTTATTTTACTAACCTTAGTGGCGGCATTTGTCTCAAGCTCCCGAAACCAGTCAGGGTCCTCATCCTTGGTACTAAGGGTGCTCCTTGAGTCAGCCTTCTTGAGGATGCTATTAAGAAGCGCTACTTTGTCCCTGAGATTTTCCTTAAGAAATTTGGAAACCTCGTCACCGACCTTCAGAAAGTCTACGTTGACGCGTCTCAGTGCCTCATACAGGATGTCCGCATCTGTCAAAGGGGAACCCAATGTCATTATAAAGTAGAACGTCGTAAAATCGATTCTACTTTGTCAACTCTAATCAAGAACCAGAAGCGCGAGCGCCGTTTGAATGAAAAGGCTCGATATAAGCGTCACATAGAAAATTTTAATATCAATTTTTAATAACAGTATATAAAAGTTATTCTATAGGAATATATGAATGAAATATGAAAAAAAGAAGAAATTTAATACCGGAAAGCAATGGTTCTCCAGGTTTCCTTAATATCAAGGTTGTTTGGGATTGAAGGGTGCTGAAATATTCTTCATCAAGCTCAGATCCATCCAGTAGGTAAACCCTTATATCCGCCAGATTATTAGTTATCTGAAATAAATCCAGACAAAAAAATGTAAGAACAATATTATTTTCAAAATTTAATAAATAATTGTTTAATCATTAATTCAGGTTTGAAATTCCAAAATAAACTATTTGAGTGATATACGACCTTGACCTAGGAGAATTCAACGGCCATGACACTGACTACTATTGGTTGCCAGGATGTCTATGTGGTAGTGGCCCGGGACGTTCGATAAAGCTATGCAGCGCAAGGTAGCAGACTAGGACACATGGATGCAGTTCCGCGGTCGAAGATCATATATTTTGTAAGACTTATTAAGAAACGTCCATACGTAAAAATGTTACGCGTGACCTAATCTCGTGTAAAACTATTAACGTGACCTGACCTAATTTTTTTTTTTATTATAACTGAACTAATGCACGCGGCAGCATATACGCGAAGAATATATGCGCGTGGACACACCTTTTTTGTTTCCTCTACTGTTCCAGTTAAATTACGTTAGCACGACCTGTGAATTAATTAAAATATATATTAAAAATTGTAATATGTACTTACATTGAGCTTTGCGCAGGCTTTCCGTTTGAGTTCCTCAAGTGTGCGACAGGCCACTCCGAACTTTCTTCTTCGATTCACATCCGTCACCTTATAACCTTTTAACTGTAAATATTTCAAAAAAAATATATCTATAAATACCTGTAACAATCACTAATCAATTACACTTTATCGAAACGCAAAACAGTTCGTATCGATAGAGTCGGAACGAGCACTTCCGCTTTTCAAAAGATTCCACGCGACTTCCGTTCAATAATTTAAAAGCAGAGTAAAGAATCGTAAAAAGAACGCCTCACCTCACACTCCTTATTTCCTCGTACGATTTTCCGAAAGCACTCAGAGAACAGGGACATATCGAAGAAAGAATGAAAAAGGAATAAAAAAAATGGTCAAGTACAAAAAAGAAAAAGATCGAGAAACAAAGGATAGGCAGAGAGCGAAAGGCCTGGCAGCTGCGTTAAAAAGCAGCTGTTATCTTCCGTCAAACAACAGTGTCACTCGACGATAACGAGAGCCAGTAATTTTCACCGAGAACAAAGAAAAATAAAAGAGGATAGACGTCTTTCCTATTCACACATGCGTCTCGAGGTTCAATCAACGAGTGACAATGTACAGTGTTTCAAAATCTATCTCGATGAAGGTACAACAGAAGATGCACCGGGAGTTAAAACAAAAATGCACTACTAAAGGCGGACAGTGCTAAAGGAATGTTGTGATCGGATGGAGTCAAGTCAGCTGGGAATTCACGGCATGCGCCTGTCTATGGCTGCTAAGCTAGATGGCTGGCTGGACGGCTGAATGTCTAACTCGCACGCTGCCCTCGATTCCTGGCACTAGTTCAGCTACACAGTACGCCACTGTCAACTACAGATGACAGCACCTACCTACGGTTGTGCATCTGCGTCATCCTCACCGCTATGCTAATCATAATAGTTCGCCAGTGCGCCTGCACCGACTGCAACTAGATTTGCTATAGGTACAGCCCGGTGCACATTAACGTAGGTGCATACTAATGATTATTGTATCGGGAAGGCTATTATTATATCATACGATAATATCATATATGCAGGTAAACTTATGCAACTTCTTTCTAACGTGAAAGTGCCCTAATCTATATTAATGGCTGATATGTCTTTTTAGAAAGCTCCAATTAAAGTTTAAGGATATCAACCAGTTCACGTTCACTAGAGTACGTTGGGTGGACTCCCTAAAGTCTCTTTGACTTTTATCTTACCATTTATGATCTTTCTCTCTCTCTCTCTCTCTCTCTCTCTGTCTCCTTCTCCCTCCCGTTTGTGTGCTCTCTCTTTCTTTCTTTGCCGGTGTCAGTCTCTTGCTTGACTTTTAGAAGTTAATGAGAGTCGATCCAGGAAACTTTTTAAGCTTAAGATTATCTTTGCTGATGGAGATGAGATTGTTGGATAAATCTCTATGTTTGAGATAGAAAATTCAAGCTTTATCAAGTTAATGATAGTGAAGTCTTCACTGATAAAAATCAAAACACGTGAACTCCCTTATGAGTAATCATTCTATAGGGGTCATTTGAATTCTTTTTTTTTTTAATTATACATCACTTGTATAAAACCCACCGACGAGTCTTACCTGAATGTCCTAACGTCCTGACCTCCTGAGCCCCGACTTCGTGACCAAGGTCTAGTGTAAGTGCCATAACGCTAAAGTGTTAGACTCTTAACAGAACTTATTAACGGGTCAGGATAAGCGATTGAAGGTCCACTATCTTTCGAATTGGTAATAAAAACCTAATTAACCAACAGTAAGTAGGTTTCGTCAGTTGACTTTTACCTAGGGTCTGTTCACTGGTCTGCGCTAGTTATCTGGACATTAATTATGTAGCACTAATTAGCAAAATTAATTAGCCTAAAATGTTAAATTGTATAACTGCATAAATCAGTAAATATCGCAGACAGATACAGAGAGAAAAAGAGAAAAGACAATAATATTAAGATAACACGAATCTTCGGTTCCTTCGTTAAACCTAATGATTCGGCATAACTACGTCATTCGACCTACGCAAACGCATTACCTTGAAGCTGATGAAATTATTTGATTCGTATGATAAAACCATGTTCAGGTAGCTCGTTTTTCGTGAGCAACCCTGTATACGTAGGAAGACGACTATTCAAGAGTATTTCACCAGCTGAAGATGTTTCAAATGGATCAATTAACTTTCAATTAGTAAAATATTCCTGAATTTTACTGAATATAGATAGCAGACGATAACGTCATACAGCTGACAGATCGTGCCTCCAGATTCGTTAGTCAGACTTTGAATGAGATCGGTCGCGTGACTGCTTAAAGCAAGATTATCTTTCTTTCTCTTTCTTTTTCCCTCATTTACATGTACCAAAGTAGAAGCGCTGTCCTGCTTCAGGGAAACTTCTTGTTATTCCAAGAATCGTACTTGAAATAGCAACCGAGTGTATAGCTTAACGGTGAATCATGACGGTTTGTATTCGTAAAAAAAAAGGAATGATCTTGAGGTAAATCCCTGATCATGAGAATTATTCTTGAGATTAAAAGTGAAACAAAGCCAACGCTTTAAATTCATCATTTTAATTGGCGTAATCAAAGGTTATGGATTATTGTCAAACGATTTTACTACTTAACGTATATATCATCGAGTCAACTTCGTCACACGTTTTCGTGATATTTTCGAAAAATTTATGAATATTCGTCATCAGTACAGTAGCCCCAAATTTATAAGATACAGAATTCCGCAGGATACCCTACGAGCAGACTTGAAATTTTTTTATCGACATTTGTATCTCGTTCTTTGATCACCGCGCGTCCCGACGTCTTTCGTCGTCAATCTCTTACAAGATTTCCTTCCATCTTGGTCCAGATCATTGTACCGGAAACTAATTTGTGTCTTTGACGATAACACGGATTATAAGTTTGGTAATTTTTTTCGTGAAATCATTTCAGATCGTCAGGTAAAATTAAGAGCTAAGATTATAATGAGAAACAATGACGATTAATCATGGGAAAAATAAAGGTAAGAGTCGGCAGTGAAAACGCTCAATGAGGAAAAATATAAAACGAAGTACGAGTGTTTGCTGCGTCAATGTGAAAAACAAACAAAGTCTACAGTGTTTAGTACCTGTCTTTATGTTCACATGACTGAGACATTTGGATGACTGAATGATGACTATCTCGATCACTTATACCAAACGTGAGTAAAATGCAGAGTCAGGTTAGAATAAGTGTTTCAGGTCAATTTTCATAAAATGCTTACTGATTTTTTTGTCAGATGGGGGAAGGAGCGACCTTTTATTTTGTCTGAGCGACGTGGTAATATTTCCAACAGATGTCGCGCGCGTCTCTGCCTGTTCCGACGCCTTAGGATTCGGAACGTCGGATGATACGAGACTCGTTAGACGCCTCAGAAGTCTCGCTCGATTTCTCGCGCAGACAAATTATTCCGCGCGATTATTTCGTGCGGCATTTACGATGATTTCCCCAGTGACATGAAACGTGAAGAGCGAGAAAGAGAGAGTGAGTGTTTTTATCTCGAGTCGGTTCAAGGCCTTCAATTTCACTTTTTTACAATCCGCAAATCAGCTTTAACAATTCTCGAGCTTCATCATCTCCCAGTCCATGCACCTCTTCCTATTATTTTCAATGATCTCTATTCTGAACATATCCTTGATTCCGGATGATTGATCAATCCGGAAATTTTCGAATTTTCAACAATATTTCTGCTATCCACAAATTTGTTAGAAGTATTAACTTGAAATGATATATCATTTTTATTTTTAATTACAATTTTTTTATATACTCCTTGATTATCGTAATCTATTCTAACTTCAATTCTGGCATTGAAAACTCTTTCGAACAATGCTTCACTTTATAAACATTGTGATGGTAATAAGAGTACAAAACAGATGCGTTTTACAATGACGTGGGAAAACTGTCTAGAAATTTCTCGCTGGTTACGCAACTTTTAAAATTACAAAGCGAACATTATGCACGGGAACTCGATGCAATATGAAAACTATAATTTCGGTCGCATGTTTATTTAACTGTTTAACCAGGAATCGCACTTCCCAGACGTTCAGCTATCTGCGAAGGACAATCGTTTTCAACGTTTGGAATACGTACAGGACCCGCTAAATGTTGTTACAAAAATTGTTTGACACGAGACCGTTTGGACCTGCCAACAAATACGTATGATCAATGTTACAATTTCCTACTCGGGGATATGACAATTATGTACATGAGGTATTTTCTGACATAAATATATCATTGAATAAGAAATTTTAACATTGTCAATAATAATCTCAGAAGTACTGATTGTAGTCTGTTTTTCTTTTTCTTTTTTCATAGACATCAAATGGCCAGGCTGACTTCAGTTGGTAAAATTTCTTTTGATCAGCTCCAATATTATGAATAATATATGGATTAATATTTATGGAAAAAGAAGCATGATTGTCATTAAAATATCGATGACCTCGATCAACATATCTATATATGTAATAACGACAATGAGAATGAATGAAAATGATAATTATTTATTAACAAGTACGAAAATTACATTTGATTCGTTACAAAGAAAGGCTGAACCACTTGGTGTGAACAAAATTGACCTAACCTCACCTGCATCCTTCACAGTGAATCCCATCGAAGCAAAAGGCAATTCGTAATGGATGTCTGGGTTCATTTTACTTGCTATCGACAGAAATTGTGTGGTAGGGATGCACAAAGCAGCAATAAGGATGGCGGCGTTTCGCCTCGTAGAAACAGTAGTTCTTTGTGTGGAGCACCAGGAGGTACCTGGTGGCGGTGAGACGGAATTTCATCGAGTCAGCAGGAGTCTCGCTATCGGTATTGTGCTACAGGGGTCGTCAAGTAGAACTTCCGTCCCACGGATAAATCCAGGACCGATACAAATTTCGGAACTTTCGACTTGGTCCACTCGAAGACCTTACGAATTAATTCTCAGTCACTCAAGTTAGTTCAGGGTGCAGAGTTCAGGGAAGAATCTATCGCCAAGGTCAGTTATTACTACGATACGATACCCCTTGAAAAAGTCCTACCAAAAATCCTTCACATCTCCTGGTCTCTTTATTCATAAAATCGTCTGAAGATCAAACCAGCTTGCTTTTCTTGAAAAAGTGGGATCAGTACAAAAAATGTCTTTGTAGGTTGGTTTGTGTAAGAAAAATAATTTTTTTTTTTTTTCAACAAACGTTTTAGGGGTTCAGAATTTCACTTTTGTGTGGTTGTCTTTTTGGTCGTGTTTTACAAAAGTTTACTAACGCGATAATAGTAAGCAATGATAGTGCGGCGATGTATAGATTAGTTATCGATAGTTTACAACGCGATCGGAAACAAAGCGCGGGAGTGCTGTCTTATTTGCATCGCATCATGCGCATTCCTTGAAAACACCTTATGCGCAATAGTGCCTTGATAAATACTATGAAATCACGATCATTCTCTTCCTCATTAACCCATAGGAGTTAAATTATGGGAAGGCATCGAATGTCATTTGCATTATGATGGACCCAGCTTCCAGTAAATGAATTTGCACTCGGTATACGCGTATATATAGTATAATGGTCTAGGCTCTTTATTGACACAGGCTGTGACAGAGTGATTCAAGTTTATGTTTCTTTGTATACAACGAATTCAGTCGTAAACCACAGTCAGTGATGTATAATAATAACAATAACAAAAAATAGATGTACATTGGTCTGATAAATAGTCTAACTGCAATCGTTGAATTTAACGATTTGACATGACGGGTCGCGTATAATAAGATTGACGTCACGCGAAAGCGCATAAACGTTATCGCGACGTTCGAGAAAATCGCTGATGCATCAACATCCGGAATACTATATTATTATCCATATTGTTGCAACAATCGAGGATTACCATACTTCAAATCGAAAGCCTTGACTAATTGAAAATTAGCGTGCAAATGTTATGGCTGAGCGGGAAACGTTAGGCGGATCATTGAACGTAATTCTTGATAATATATGAAAATATATATACATATAATATAAATTGAAAAATAATGTAATTCCGATACCTTGTGAAGAATTGATATTAATGTTAAAAACTTGATTAGCAAACATGATTTAATTATTTGTTAACAATTATTATGTTCAAAACTGTTATTCATTATGTAAGAAGCATCGTTGAGCCGTATGGAAAAAGTGTCTGAGACGCCATAAGAAATAACACGAAAAATTGTTAATTATCCAGAAACCTTTGTCTTACATTTTTCTTGATATTGTCAAAAATTGATGCAATTTTTTTGTCGACTCTCGACCTAAATCCTGTAAAAGGTAATGGAGAAAAAACGAAAGTGAGAAAATCAATGGTTACAGATTAAAATTGTCAATACCAGTGGAACATCGAAGGACTTTGGGATTTAAAAAAGTAAAAGTGCGCCTGTGCATCGGCACCGTCTATACGTATGCGTATCACTGACGTTCCTTAAGATGGTCGTCCTCTATAAAGTACGAGGGCAACCAGAATTTCAAGGAGGGGCACTCGCTATCTTTTTTAACCATCAGACAGATCCGTAATTGATCTTGAACAACTTTAGATAATTATATTCCTACGGAGTGATAGATACAAGTTTCCGATCAATAGGCTTATATATTGAAGTTGGGTAACGTCATAGAGATATTTCGTTCATTTTTTTTTTGGTAGTTATTTGAAACTTTTTACTTTTCATAATCAGTCTTAGATTGAAAGATTATTGGTCTAGACGTAACCTTTTCGACGGAGTCTGCGACAATTACAGGCTTCAGCTTCTATCGATGTCGTCATACTATTGTCAGGTTCCCGTTGACTCTAATCCTATGAATGCCAACCTTTATTTCCCCTTCACCTTCTCAATGATTTCGTAACTACCATCTTTTTTACTAATGATAATTCTAAGAATGGTTATTCTTCGGAATGACGATGCCTCTCACGACGCACAAATTATTCGCGTCTATTCATATTTAAAATTAACCTTTACTTATAGTAAAGCAGGTTTCATAGTGTCAGGGAATTATTTATACTGTGCTCGTTATTCACGTACATTTATTACAATCTTATTTCAAACAGGCAGATGCCCTTTCTGAGTTAAAAAATGTGTTTGCTTCATAGAGCGCGGCTTGGATGGCGTATATCGACTTAGAGATAATATGAATCCTTTATCACATTAGAAAGTAATCGTTTGTTGAAAATTGTGATTGAGATACAGATTTGTAATGATACTGAATGCACCATATTTATACTCGATAAAATCGTCATCAACGTCGCTACTGACTAACAGCTTGAAAGTTTGCACAATTTTTTCATCTCCAATTAAGAACAATTTTCAATGAGACAATTGGATTGGCTTTTTAATTTTTTCCTTATCTTTATCAGTCGTAGTAATATGTATCCGCCTGAATTCCATCGTGCGGGGATTCCCCGGAAAGAAGAATTTTTTCAGAACTGTTAAAAAAGGAGATAAGGTCGATATAGTCAGATAATCATGTGAGAAAGACAAAAATTTAAACTGAAAGGCGAAGTCATATTGGGTATCTAAATACAAATTTTTAGTTTACATCTCGGTTCGAGAATCTCGTTCACCTTCAATTAGTGGTCAGACTTGTTGCATTGTCAAGGCCGTTTTACGTTGCGTGTTTTTGGTACGTTGCACTTTTAAACAGTGAAGGGCCTCGGCGTAATAAGCCGAACGATCAAAATGTCAGCATGAAGTTGTTTTCCATGAAGAATAACAACTGTTGCCATTAAAATTCCCACTAACGGACATCCAGATATCTGATTGGACGATTCGCACTATAGCCATCATTCATATTGTATATTAATGGCGAGCCTTAGGGTAGAATTTAGGGCATATAGGATATATGGCTTCTTTATTCGTAGTTTATTTGTCGTGGACGGTAAATCCACAATTTTGTATTTTCAGCTGTTATTATCTATAACAAATTTTGTGAAAAACACTGTCTACTGACGAGTCAACTTTCCTTTTTAACATTTGCAGTACTCTTGAAGAACCTCTCCGACAAGATGTCTGGGGTTGTCGAATGGTACCGAGACCTTTTGTACAATAGAAATGGTAAGGAGATCATAAAATACAAGTAAATTATATCAATAGTATAAATATATAACAAATAAAAAAACTTTTCTTGTATTGTAGATCCTAGAACCAATGACTGGTTCCTGATATCTGGACCTGCACCAATAATAACCATTGTCGTGACTTACATATACTTCAGTGTGTCTGCTGGACCTAGGTACATGAGAGACAAGAAGCCATATTCCTTAAAGAACACCCTGATAATCTATAACTTCATCCAAGTATTGCTGAGCATCTACCTGGTGTACGAGGGCCTTATAGCTGGATGGCTTTTCGATTACAACTACAAGTGTCAGCCAGTCGATTATTCCGATAACCCCAAAGCCATGAGGGTAATTATATTATATAAACCCCTGATCAGTAAAGATAATTATTTATGTAACCTCTCCATTACTCTGGAATTATATATTATTTTCAGATGGCCAGGGCTGTATACATTTACTTTCTCTGTAAGCTCATTGAACTTCTGGACACAGTTTTCTTTGTTTTGCGCAAGAAACACAGGCAGATTTCGTTCCTTCACGTATATCATCATGCAATGATGCCAATCTGTGCTTGGATAGGTGTCAGATTCGTGGCAGGGGGTCATCCAACATTGTTGGGCGTTATCAATTCCTTCGTTCACATAATTATGTACACATATTACATGCTTGCGGCGATTGGACCACAAGTACAAAAGTATCTTTGGTGGAAGAAATACTTGACGTCTCTTCAGCTTATACAGTTCCTTATTATTTTCATACACAACGGACAGTTGCTCTTCAGCGATTGCAAATTTCCAAAACCTTTAACCACTTTATTGACTTTGAATGCCGCACTCTTTATATACCTCTTTGGTTCTTTCTACGTGAAGAACTATCTAACCGGTAGGAAAGAGCCGAAGACGCGGCAAGAAAACGGTGCGCAGTGCCGCCTGGCGTCAAACACGGAAAATCGAATTAATTATCCTGGGCAAAAACTCGATTGAGTTGCGTGATTCTTCGTTTTAGAGGTGCACAGGTATGCCTATTGCAAAGTCAGTTCACTTATTGATAAGATTGATTATTGGCTCAAAGGGATGCTCGGTAAGGAGGTCAAAAAGAAAATGTATTCCATCTTATTTTTCTTAGCTGATCTACCAATTTAGTTATCGTTCAGATATCTGAAGTGAAGAGACTCGATCGTGTCTCAAGTATTATTTATATCTACTGAGGTGTAATCCAATCGAAAGTATCCAAAGTAATAGACGTTCTTTTTTTACTTTGAACACTTTTAATCGATCCACCCGGTATATACGATAATAATTATCGACAAATTGATCGACTGATAAATATACGAGGGAGCGAGAGAGAGAATTGAGTTTATTCGATACTACAAAGAAATCCCTGTAAATCGATCAAGTAAAAGCAAAGTGCGAATACTATTTGAGAAGGCATAAATAATTAAATCGAGAAGAGTAAACGCGAGGAAGGAATTTTAAACGTAGGAAAGAAATACAAGACATCAAATATAGTATGAAGCTTTAATTTTTGCCAGTGACAAAATTTTAAATGTTAATAAGTCAACGCTTGCATAATGGGGACAAAATTAATAGTAATAACGATGACTATAACGATGGCGAGCATGACGAAAGACCCAATGGCGCAACCTTACTCTGATTATTTGATAAAAGTGTCGCGAGTTCATAAGAAAAATTTCAATTTGCCCAATTCAATTCAGCGAAAGGACTTCGATATCAGCTCCTGAGTAGATCGGCTTGAAGAATAGTTCATAAAAGACTGTCCTTAGATAGTAAATTACCTTGTTCGCGTATAACCGATTGTTAGCGAGGTTATCGAGAAGAGCGATAGCCTAGAAAAAAAAAAAGAATTAACAAACGCGTTTACGTAACTTGAGGCACTTAACTAAATCGTATAGTATACAGAACCGTTAAAAAGAATGGAATAATAAAAAAAATGCCACGAATCCATCAAATGCAAAAAAAAAAGACTTTTTTTATAACGATAATTAGTGTCTTCAAACGACGAAAGTAAAATCGTTGTACACAATAACATTTCTGATTCACGGATTTTTATAAAATTAAAATAGTTTTTGGAATTTACTCATAATGCATTTTCTATATGTATATTTTTCTCTTGTACTTATTACAGTATGTGACGTTTTTTTTATAATAAAATATCTTGCCGTCGGTTATTTATGGATTATTGATTATTACTCCTACCATTTACATATAGCGACTTTACGTAGCGACTCCTTATGTCACAATATATAAAGAATGTAGGAATTCCATATAAGATCGATACATTCGTTAATACTTATGGTAATGAATTTAATAAAATTATCAAATCATGATGCATCGCATATTCACTATCATGAGGGATCGCTGTAAGGTCAGGATCGTGAGACCCGTGGGACCTCAGTTTCCGGTTAATGCTAAATAGCCACGAGGATCCCTTTTTATTCTTTAATGAAGAATAGTTATCTCGATTCTTCGACGAGGCCTGTTACTATGGGCATTAATATTATTAGCATCGATTCAAATTTTTGTAGTTCTAATTTCGGCCGATACGTTTTTTTTCGATATCTCCATCTCATTTTCATAAGAATGCGAAAAACGTAAGGATTACGTGCAAGTGATTACGTACATACAAGGTCAGACGCATTTCCGGCGAACTCGACGCTTGTAAAACTGTATAGTAAAACCGACGATGACTGATGTCATAATAATGAGGCACAATGGCCCATGAAAGTGCATAAGATTATACCGAAGGAAGCAGCAAGATACGGAATGTTTAAAGTTTAAAGACCGTCGATTGGTCGTAAGTTTTGTTAATTTCAGATTCGTAGGATCGATTGTCTTGATATTTCAGAAATCGTGGAACGATAATAATTATTTTTTAATCATGTTCAAACTTCCATTAATATATGATCCTCTCGTTGTCATTCGTTGTTGTATAAGACTTCCAACGCGTTCGGGCAATGTTGCTATAAAATGGATCAATACAAAAAGAAAAGGACGTCACTATGTTAAAATATATAGTACGGATTGAAAAACAAGAAAAAAATGACTTCCTAATTTCTTTAACAGTGTACATTCTATGAAAATCAATTAAATGATTATTCAAATCAATAATGACGAATCATTATAAAAATTAGTAAAATCCAAAAAATATAAAAATTTTTCCACAGAACGAATGGCTCAAAACCATCTGTATTCATTGTAAGGGTCGAATGTAAATGTATGTAAGATGTCGTAACGAACGATTAGGCGAATGAACGTTCCAAAGTTTCTTCGATTAAGGGTCAAACAACTTGGCAGCCATGCATTTCTATACGCATAATTCCGAAATACGTGAATTATAATACAATGCTTATTGCTCTTTCACGGGGGAAGCAGGTGGCATCAGTCTGCTCGGATACGCCGTGGTGGTTGGGTGGGTCAGAGGGTAGCTCTTATATAGATATCACGAAGTCCAACAATTGATATCATCTACCACCAATTCATAGAAGAGATTCTACAACACTTGTATGAGAATCAAGAGAAGGAAAGAAAGGGAAAAAAGCAAAAGAAATATTAATAAAGAATCGACCAGTGAGAGAGTGTACGGCTCTGTTGAAGAGCATCGAAGAAGAGGAAGAGTGACATCAAAGAGTACCGGAAGCCAAAGGCTACAGAATTCTCTGAGTTCGACGGTCAACGTCCGTGTAGCGGTACAGTGAGATAACCGAATAGAAAATCAATAATTCGGAAAAATTGGAAAATTTGGAAAAACTTATTCTGGGAAAGTAGAAGGTTACTTAAAGTCGCATGTTCTCGTTTCGTAATATCAGCGAAAGGTGTAGATTACGACAATCATCATGGCCACGATAATTCGGGCTCTCATAAAGGGATATACCTACCTCAATGATGAGATCGCAGGTACCTAAGGATATTACGCAATTTATACTTGTTTAAATATTTTACACCGTATCTTTTGAATTTCCAAGTTATTCCTGTAAGATAAAAAATTTTTGTCAATGATCTCATTTATGGTGGTCGTAGCGGTCAATCGAATTGATAAACTTCCGGTAGGAATTTTCGATTTAAAAAACCGTTTTAATATCAGTGTAAGAGGATAGTACAGGGAGCTCGTTTATTGCATCGTTAGCGACTAGTCTGAGTAGTTTTAATAATTTTATTGTTTCCTTCCATTCCTCGAGATCCAAGAACGAAGCATTGGTTTCTCATGGGTTCACCGTGGCCAGGTTTGGCTCTGATCACGTTCTATCTCCACTTCGTTCGCACCTTGGGGCCAAGAATCATGGCCAGCAGACCCCCGTACAATCTCGACAGGATACTACAGATATACAATTGTGTGCAGATAGCATTATCCTCCTATCTTCTCTACAAGGTAATCTTCAAGATCGATGTGTCCTTGGTGGTTGGTACGATGTACAGGGTGTTCCATATACCGTCGGACCTCTCTATAAGCAACAGATCGAGACTGAAATTGCTTATACGGAGGTTGTCTAAGCAGCGCCATCTACGCCGTCAAACCCTCCACTTCGTATTTGCCGTTCATCGCTATGACTCCGAGAAGTATCATATTTGAACAGACACGTAGCCACTGAAACTTGTGGCCCTAAACGTCCTGTGGTCCTAATACTAATGCGTAGTGGGGGAACCGTTGCTTATACAGAAGTCCGAGTGTATCATCGACGGTTCATTGGGTTGGTTAAATTATGAATATTGTGAAATATTCAATCTTATGATCAGAGGAAATGAAAAGATTAAGAAGAGTGACAGATGATACAGATATTAAAATATATAGTCTTTTTTTTTATTTACAGGCATTGGTCCTTGGGTGGCTAGGGCATTACAGTTTCTTTTGCGAGCCCGTAGACCATTCCTTTAACGAACGCGCCATTGAGGTAAGGGAAGACTCGATTTCTGAGCAAAGACAGTATGTTGGTGCGATGGTTTTTTAACCCTTCGCATATCATACGTGTGTCTGAGATGTAGACAGGATTTCTTGAATTTTCTTCGCGACAAACTTTCTTCTGTAGCATATTGACTTTTAAACAAATAATTTTTTTTCACTTTATTTTATTTTACACATTTTACGTATACTCTGATATTTGGATATCACTGTTATTGTGTTTAAAAAATGTCTATTTGTCACAGATTTACGTTGCAATTTGTAAGCACGTATCTGGCAGAACATTTGTGACCTATGGATTGATGTAAAATGTCTCGTATTCTAGGATTAAGGTTATGTGGGAAGACGAAGGTACCATCTAGACATATAGATACATATAATCGGTCTGGTAATCAATGTTTCTTGACATTTTCCAAACAATGCAATTCTTAGCGTCTCGCACGCTTTTCATAAGATTATGGAAATATATGAATGAAGTGGGAAAATAAAATGTATCTCAGTAGAAAAATATGCACTTCCATACTTTTTAACGAAAATTGCATGCAGTTCTGCATATGACTTGCTAAAGAATTCAGAGTTTCGAATCTGTCATGAAACGTATTGAAATGACGAACCGACTATAGTTAGTTGCTCTTTGAGATTAATAAACCCGGGAGCATCCCCGTCCACTTTCTACAGATTGCAGCGACCGTGTGGATGTACTTTATCGTGAAGATTATCGACCTTCTCGACACCGTCTTCTTCGTCCTTCGAAAGAAGCAAAGCCAGGTGTCTTTTCTGCACGTTTACCATCACGCCGGCATGGTTTTTGGAGCTTGGGCGGGAACCAAGTATTTACCGGGTGGCCACGTTACGTTTTTAGGTACGTAAATCTTGTAAAGCTTGTGACAGCTGTGGAGGTTTACTATGATTATTATATTTTCAGGGCTAATAAATTCTTTCGTCCATGTGGTAATGTACACGCATTATCTTGCCACGTCACTTAAGATCGGAAAACCATGGTGGAAGAAATACATAACTCAGCTTCAACTTACCCAGTTTTTCTTGATTCTTATACATTTTTCACAATTGATATGGATCGAGGATTGTGGCTTTCCAAGATGGCCAGCTGCCATTTTTATACCCCAAAATCTCTTCATGATTGTGCTCTTTGGGGACTTTTATTACAAAACTTACGTGAAGAAGCCTGTGAAGAAAGTCGAGCTAAATGGCGTCTCCAAGGAACTGAATCGAACGACTAAAGCGCAATAGCATCGAATAACGATTTCGAGATTATTGACGATATTCATAATATCTAAGAAATCGAGCCACGCGTACTTAAGATCTCACGCTCACTCATGTTACTCGATTTTTTTTTATCATACATGCTACAATCAGTACAATTTCCATTTATTCTTTTAAACTCCAAATGAGCGCCTCGCTTCACGATTTGCGCACTTGATGCTTATTAGTGCCACTTTTTTGTCTTGGCACTTAACAGAGACAAGTTAATTCATTATGTTCTAAAGAATCAATTTGTTTCAGACCTTCATTTGCCAAATTAAAAGCTTTAATACGGATTCTTCTACCGATTTGTAGTTCTATAACCGATCGTTCAATGGCAGCAGTATCTCATAAAGAATAGAGTCCCTCTAGTAAGAGTCCGGCTTGTTAGTGATTGGCTCCGCCATATTATGGACTCTTTCCGTAATAGAATGGGTGTGTGAATACGTATACGGGAGAGATTCGCATTGTGCAGCTGGGGTAGTGTTAAGCCCTGTACGGCGGGTTGCCTGTACTTGGCGCGAGACTCGACCGAGTCTTGCGCAATGTCATGGTGGCGCCAAACAAGCCCTTAATATGGCGTCCCTTCCGGGTGTTGGCCAGACTCTCACTAGAGGGACTCTAATAAAGAAATATATGTTTATCCTTGCAACTGCGTTACCGACTGCGGTGGGTAATGTGGAACTTTAGTCACGTGGTTACCGACTGTGCTGGTCGGATTCAGAATCATTGTAATAAATATCAAGTAAATTTGATTCTATGAAATAAGGATAGTAATAGAAGAAGAAGAAATATTCAATAGGTACTGAATGGTTATTTCAAATTGTCTGCAGACTATACCATTAAACTGCCCAGTCTAGTTATATATATTTTTTTTACTAACGTCTAACGACTATAGTTACATATCAGATCATATGGCATATATTATGGGCGATTAACGGCAAGGTTTCTCATAGTTGATATTTTCTATGACCTATTGGAAAGCAAAATTATATCAATACGTAATGCTTCAACGTTACGTCGATTAAGTAACGTTTGCGTGAATACTGCGTGTTACTGCGTACTGAATATTGCGTGAAACTATTAAATGGTGCCCGAACGTTTTTCATCTAAAACCAGTCTCATTATTTAATAAAAAATTCTCACCGTTTTTTTTTTTCTTCTTCTCTAACCTTCATTATGAATATTTTATAATTTCACCCAGTAAACACAAAATGACAGTTAAAATATCAGTTAAAATGTCCCACTAGACTACGTAATAATTATAAAACATTTAATGTATGCAAATTTTTTATTTCTGAGTTCAACATTTTAACATTATCGGTATTTAAATTTTACTACGTGTCTGCTGGATTACTTTCGGTCAAATATCAGCACAAATATATTCCTCGTATATTCTCGAATAACTTTTACCCTCGAATTTGAACATTAATCGAAATGGACTTGCACCAGTGTTAATTAAGACAAAAAGATAATAAAACATTATTACACAATGCCTCAATTACCTAAAAACCAAAATATTTACATACAATGAAGTACTTGTCCAATTTGAATTACACTTGATTGGCATATGAGTTTCCATAACTAAATTAACAGCCTATAATGATAGTGTGTATCACAATTTCCCAAGATGAAATGGCGCGAAATACAAAACAAATGCAAAAATGTAGAATCTAATAAATTCATTTACGTCACTCGCTTTTGCATTCACATATATATTATTTATCTTCGAGGTGTAACGTTATCATCCCAATAATGTTTTAGCGGCCTAATTAACAACTCCTTGGATGAATGTGAAGAATAACTGTTTAGGTTGAAAAAAAAAATTTCTTGTCCCACAGAAAGTAACGTCCTACTTTTAAAAAGTATCTCTCCGTAAGATAACTGGTACGTACCTACGTGTAGCATATCCCACTCACCTGCAGTCAAGAATGATGTGCCGTTACTTCTTTTGAGGCCCAGGACAGAGAGAGTGGAGACTGGATGCTGGCTCCAATTTCGTTTTCGGCCATTTTATCGAATGACCAACACAACTGACAGTGAAGATACCTACTAGCTCAGTAAAGAAATTAAAAAATTTTTTACGCAAGGATATAACGGTTGTAAGATACCTGATACACCTAACCTAACCTATAAAATGCCTAAACAAGAAATAGTTTCATTGCCAACATTCAACTGTTACTTAATCGTAGTTACGTAAAATTGCATAAAATTAAAAATTGCATGCAACATTTTGTTTTAGGAAAAATTCAAAACTGATTTCACTACTGTATCTATTTACTGAATTTAGTCACTGAGTACCCCAGTATCATAGCCTTATATTGAGAAATTGACCGAAGGCGAAAATGGAAACTTTCTTGACCTGCTACTTTGTACGGAGTACGTGTGGTAATGTACTATTTAATTATTACAGGTAATACGAATATATTTATTGGCTGTAATATTACGAGAATATATTGCATTTCCATAAGTCGATGGGTGCACGTGTTCCGGTTTCTGATTATACCGTTACAGCCATATGTATTCCAGCATCTAAATGAACAAGATGGGTGTAAAGTCAGACATAGTTAGGAGTTTTAATTATTAAACCCTTTTAGTGCCGGACGACGACATATCGTTGCGTATGCGATGGCACCATATTCTTCGCATCGCGAGAAAGCTCTATCTCAAAATAAATGTTGAAATACAATTAACATTACATTATTCTCTCTTCCTTCCGTGATACGTTGTTTTTCGGATTATGTTATTATCATTTTTAGTTTGATTTTTACGACCTTTTTCCCAACACGTTGTAAAATTCGTCAAATTCGTCCGGTTATTCTCGCATAGGCACCGGTCTTTCGCCCGGCACTAAAAGGGTTAAAATTAATTACGTTGACCAACTAGACGTTTATAAATTATGTATAAAAAAGATCGTATAAGGTAGCTATTGCGTTATGTAAAATTAAAGATTAAATTTTTTAATTTATTTTTTACTACGTTATTTAAAAAATATGTAATGTGAAAATTAAGAATTTATGAATCTCTGTCCTTCCACTTGTGTCGAATAGCTTACGTAGGAAATATTTTTTTAATGAATCATATACCGAAATAAAAATATTATTATCGTGGTGCTGATATCTTCTTAAACAAGATGAAGCATTAGATGTATCTCTTGCACAGTAGCAAAGGATAATACACAAATCTTATATTCTAATACTCGAATCTTGAATTGATGCCACATTCGAATGTATCGCCACTGTGGAACCTTCTTTACCATTCGAGACTAGGTCAAGAATGACCCCTTTGTTTGCAGTCTTCAATAGTTGATATTTTATAATTCCCACTTGGACCTAACGGTGAGTAGTACGGCTTCTGTGATATTCTCCGTGCATTTTATCTGACCGGGCACACTATGTTAGTCTATCCGTATAAAATAGTTCGAATTTACATCGTGACTTATTGGTGCAGTCAAAGTTAAAAAAGTAAAAAATTTGGAATCGACAGAAAAAATATTTTGCGAGTTTGCGCGCACTTGTTTATTGAATATTTGTTTTACGTAGTAATGGCCATATGACGCAACGAACCGAGGCCATTAGTGAATATGTATAGATAATAGATAGGTTCGACAAAAAGAATAAGTACTCGCGTTGGCAAATCCATATACAGAGTTCACGAAGAAATCGGCCTGTTGACAAATTTTGAAATTATTCTGTCTATTCTTCGTCACTTCCTCTCATTCTTTAAGCTTTATTCCTGACAAATACATCATTAACATTTTGTCGGTAAATATTCAAATGTGTAATACAGACGTGGATTATAGAAAACGTAAAATATTACTACTACGAAAGATAAAATATTTCGTTTTTTTTTTTAAATTTACAAATTTTTCAACAATACAAAAATCGTTAATCCTCATTTTCGTCTCTTTGTCAAAAATTTCATTCAAACTCTCTCCTTTAACGTATCAAAAAATTAAAAACACCCACGTCCTTCTCATGTCCCCAATATGACACATGGGTCGAAGTAATATTCAAAATATATACAAAATATATATAGATTGAAAGAAAAGCCAATACTGTCCACATAATAGAGCGTCGAAGACTGTGTTAGATATTCTTAAAAAATAAAAAATAAAAATTCTCGAGCCACAGTTCAGTTCAAAGTCTATTTTACTCTTGTGGGGCATGTAGGAATGGACATACTTATTAACTACCTATGGTATATGTTAATGAAAAAAAAAAAAAGCTATGAGATAGGGAATGAACGTAGGAATGGGATGTGACGCGAGTGCGAACTACGTTCACGCGTTATTCATATATTCTAAGGCGGTTCTTCATTTTGCGGTCAACTTAACCCCAAGCAGCCAGTCCAGCAGTCCGTCAGTCCATCAGTCCGCCAGTCAGCCACCTTCTGTTCGAAGTAGTCGAAAGGCGGAAGGTGTTCACTTGGTGGGGCGTTCCAAAGTATCACCGTAGTATCTTTACCAGTGGCTTCCAATGTCAGTTTTTCGTTCGGGACTCGTCCTCTGCAGACACGTTCCTGAGGAGCTCTTGACTATATATAAAACCATCCTGACCGGTGTTCATAATCGAGCATCATCTCCTCGAGGAATCCCTTGAGAGCCGTTAAGTAGGGAAAATACGGATTGAGGAGATAAAAAATTAGTTAATTAATTAAAAAGTTATTAGTCGATTAAAAACGTATCTAAGTGAGGTTACGTTGTGAAGAACTTTCAAGAGTCTCAGTAGTCATCTGGATCGTCGTCGGAAGAAAGCTTTGCTGCTCGATTATCAAAACGGATTTCATTAATAAAAGGAACAAAAAATGTCAAACTTGATACGATCGGTGGTCAGCAACTACAATGACATTTTGGAAACTAACAAAGGTGAGCCAATCGATAATCGATCTACTGAAGTTTAAAGTCGACGAATTTTATGGTTAACGAAAATTGCGAAAGACCGTACGGAGGATACGGTCGCCCGGAAATCACCTGAGAAACTGTCACTCAAAGACAATTTACGGTTGGACTTGTAAAATTAATTTTGAACTTTACGCCTACCGTCTGCAAGCTGTAAACGTTTAACGATTCATGAGTATCGTATTTATATTCATAGAAAAGTTCAGAATGTCGCTGTGTCACACTTTACATTGTAACTATACGATGACCCGTGAAAATCTTTTGTATCATTACCGGTTGAATGACCGGATGTCTGAAAACTTTACAATTCAAAACGTGCGCAAAGTTTCTATATAATTAGGTCTATTGATATTCCCCCCCCCCCACTCCATCCCCGTCCGGACGGCCCGTCATGAATATAACAAAAATGCAAAAAAAAAATTATCTATATCAAAATTACGAAAACGTGACAAAACATTATTTTGTTAATGAAAATCATTCGACATATTATTGTTCATGCCTGATGTCGCATGTATGTAACAATAAATGCTCGTATAAGCACATTCCGCGTTAATACGTAGCTTCGCCACGGACATTTCGCGTTTTGTAATCGCGGGTAATGCAATATCGTGGCTGTTGCACTTCGGGCCGTCAAAGAAATGACCCAGATACGAATAACGATAATTGCAATTTCTTAATCATGTGAACGTAGTCAATGGCAAAACGGAGCAACGATCACTAAATTTTAAGCGATAAAAAGTCGATATTGAGATAATTTCACATGGCCATTAAAATTATCCCTGTTGGGTTGCAGGTAACCGTTAATAAGGTTAAATTATAATTATAAAACCAAAGGCATGATTATTGGGATCCAGGTCATGCGGATGAGTAGACCGAATCGCGTATTGAGAATCCGCCTTGTTGGAGTGTCAACGTTTTGCGAAAAAAAAGTTTAGAACTCGAGATAAAAACTGATAAAAAGATTAGTTATCATTATTTATTTTCATTTTATTTTTCTATATTTTTCGCAAACAGATCCTATGGTGGACACGTGGTTTCTGATGTCGTCGCCTGGACCAGTTCTTTGTATCCTAGCAACGTATTTGACCTTTGTCCTAAAAGTGGGACCGAAGATGATGGAAAAACGACCAGCGTTTGAACTGAATACACTTATGATACTTTATAATGGATTTCAAGTGATATTTAGTATCTGGTTGGCGTCATTGGTATGAATTTTCCTCGTGCGAATTAAAGCACTGATAAATGAATGTATATATTAATTACTTTATAATCATTTTCATTCATTGTTTGTCAAGGCAATGAAAGTGGACATCCCAGGGTTCGTATTTAAAAACAGCTGTTCGTCGAGCGGTCCAGTCAAGTCAAGGGAACTTCAAAGTATCGTGAGTCAGCTTATTCAAGCGATTACAGACGCTTACCCATAATACCATGGTGTGCGCATGCGCAGTCTCACGTACCAATATTATCGTTATAGTTATCGAGAGGCGCATGGTGGTACTTTTTTGCGAAGATCATCGAGCTCCTGGATACGGTGAGTGAATTCGTCGTTGATTAACAGTACATTAGTAATTGCGACAGGTGGCGTTGGCTGTACACAAGTTTCGTTTTCTTTACAATTAACCTGCATTGCGACGCTGACAAAGAACTACAAACGTAATCATTTCGGAATTATACGTCTACGAGGATTTACCTTGTATAATGGCGGAAGTATTCATGGGGCGATCGACAATAATTGATCGTCGTCGATGAAATACGTTGGCGCGACGGCCATATTGAGAAATTCACCTTATTGTTTTCTTTTCCTGTCACTGCACCAGGTATTCTTTGTGCTGCGCAAGAAACAGAATCAGGTGACGTTTTTACATGTCTACCATCATACGATAACGGCACTGTTCTCATGGTGTTATCTAAAATGGCTGCCGGGCGAGCAAGGCATTGTCTTGGGTCTTCTGAATTCGATAGTCCACGTGGTCATGTACACGTACTACATGATTGCCGCGATGGGACCAAAGTACAGGAAATACATATGGTGGAAGAAATACATGACCTGGATACAACTGGTAAGTTTCACGTAGGTGACTATGTTACTTCCGGTTTCAAATAATTACGATTACGTAATACTGTCATTAATCACTACAGATTCAGTTTGGCATTATGCTGTCTTACCTGTTGCTCATTCTCGCAATGGACTGCACTATGCCAAAAGCTCTCACGTACTTCTTCGCGACAAACGTCATCATCTTCATCTACCTCTTCAGCGACTTTTACCGGAAAGCCTACAAGAAGAAGGAAGCGTAGAAGTGCAGCGATGCATTGAGCGCTTCTCACTCGAGTCCCTGTGCAAGAAAAAAGAAAAAGAAAAGAGATGATTACGACATTACAAGGCAATCTCAGTCCACGCGGTTAAGGATATAGATAGATAATCTAAGGTTAAATAATATCATCCTAGATGGCGCTAGTGACGACGCAGCAAAAGTCGCCACGTGAACCAAGTGAGGCTACGAGATGCGGTGAAATTTCAATAACTTTCAATTCACGATGGTTTTCTTCATTTTGAGAAGAGAGTCTATGGAAATATTTTTTTTTTCAAAATGGACGTGTTTTTTACTGCGTTACGTACAACCTGACTTTGCATTTTCACCAGTCAAATAGTGTCATCTAGTAGCATGATTCTCGGATGCTGTATCACTGACATCTTTATTTTCATCCCGAGCAACATGGTGCCTGACAATTGTTATTTTTATTGACAAATATTAGAATGGCTCTTTGACGAAGGTAATAGAATAGAATTCAGTCAAGAGGTACCCAGATACCCAGTAGGTAAATACGATTTAATGCCGGACAAGATATCCTTCTCCTTGATAAATCTCTTATCTCCCACCCACTCTCCATATCGTAATTAGCATATATCGATATAAAAAGTCACGGCCAATTTATTTATTATTAAACGTATATGTTACCTGAGGAATGTGTCTGCGATGCCTGCCCGTAGTTAGAAAGGGAACTAATAATTGCGGATACTCTGTCGGTACAGTTTATTGTACAGTACAATAGTTATGTATATTCATTGTATGATACAAAAGGTGAATACGATACGAAGCTAAGTTGAATTCAGCGAATTTTGTTTTTCCCATCTTCCACTCCATTAATCAGATGCACGTAACACACGGAAATTACTTACAATTACATTCTATCACTCTCTCGCTCCACTTGTACATTGTATGTATAATTATTTTTCACTTTAACATTATTTCTTACGAAGTATGGAACATAGGTTGGTTAGATTTTCTTTCTTTTTTTTTTTTCGTTTCAATTAACAACATTGATTGATTTTGAAAACACGCTGATTATGCATTATACTCGTATCGGGTTATTTCAAAAACTTTAACGACAGCATGTGTGTATTATATTTTTCAGTACTATTACGTCGAATAAACTATGCAACAACGAAAGTTAAACGTAACTGTTATTTACACCGTATTTTCTACTTTACCGACGTCATCGAGAATTCACGTAAAGATTCTGTATATATTTATACGCATCTACGTACTAGTTACACTATGCATATAATTACTAAAAGGGAGAAGGAAGATAGAAGTTAACCTAAAGTAAATATAAAATTCTTAGGCCGCTCGTTGAATTCGGCTAAAGCGATATCGCACACGGGACGATAATTAAAGCCATTAAAGTCATTAAAGCCATGATCTTTGGGCTTGATTCGTTTCATCGGGAGCCCTCCCCCTTTCGGTATAATAAATCTATACGACCGACCGTTAATTTTCTTTCACTATTTAACAATATTAATAATTTTTTACTTCATATGGTCAAATTAACTTTCTTTCTTGTTGCTACGAGTATATTGACTTTTTTTCATTAATTTGTATATATACCAAACATTCCGTCATGACGCGATGAAACCGGCCGATCCTATGATATTCTATGAGAAACTAATGTCCAGGACTAAACTATACGATACTTAATGCTAATCGATCCCCGATCCGGATGATCATTTGGAAGCGATCTGATTAATTAATAATTATTAAAAAAAAAATCGGTAGACGTACACGAGCAAATCTTCGAGACGTGAACGTGCGTGTCCCGGATCTCGAAGTTTGCTTGAAACTTTGAGCAAATTATGCTGCTTCCTTGAACAAGGGGTTATGACGTCATGTGCTGCCGAAGTTACCGCGAATCGTGACGCCATCTATGACAAGGGGCTGTAAGACGCTTAAGTCAATACTGACGAGGATTAATTATTTCACCAAACAGTAAGCCATGTCCTGATTCATTTGCACGCCCGTTACTCGACTTCGATTTATAGAATGAACTTGCAACTGTGTTCACACTCCTCGTAATACACTAACTTGTCCCTTTGTTCTTGACGTCTTTGTCTACCTCGTGATAAAATTGAGAGAGACGTAGCTCGCGCGATACTTATCGTTAGTGACGCTGTCACCTGAACGTATCCTGTTAGTTCTCGAAAGATTCTCAGGCCAAGATGGAGCCACTTGTCAGTACGTGACGTCACGATTTTTCCATACAAACTTCGAGTCTCTCTCGATCGATACACCTTCTCGTAATGTCTTACGCCCTGTCGCTTCGCTCCCTTGCTGATCTTTTTTTTTAGTTCTGCTTTTTTTCCCCTCCAGCCTTCTCGTTTCACTGGCCACCGTCGTTCAGACATCCGTTAATCCTTCTTCGATCTTCCATTTTGAATTTTTTCGTTCGACGACCTCTTTGAGTTTTGTTCCTTCGTCCCGTCCTCCTCCGAAGGGATTGTATTAGTTTGCTGCTCCTGTTGCGTCCTGGAACTCATCGGCGGTCCCGACGGTTTGATTTTCTTCGCGGAGCTACCGTAACTGTATGCTTTGTTGTAAAAATCAGAGAACAGGAAATAAAAGAACATCACGTTGGGTAAGATGAGAATGAGCGACCATCTCGGATATTCACAGTCATAGATCAAGAGCTGAAAGCTGTGCAGAAAGGCGAGGCAAAATTGTCCCTGAAAAAAAAAATTTTTTCACATCAGCCACATCAGGACCCCGATACAGAGAGCCAATTTTCAAAAATTAATCATCATTACCATCTGCAAGGTCGTGATATATTTCTTCCACCAGAAGTACTTCTGGTACTGAGGTAGCATAGCGGCCAGAAGGTAGTAAGTGTACATAACAATATGAACGAAGCTGTTTATCACTCCTGAAAAAAAAAATATCAAAAAATGTCACGTGACTGAAAAAAAAATTTTTTTAATTATATAAAATTTTGTTTCAATGACACTCCCTTACCTATGAAGGTACCATGTCCACCAGGATAGTACTTGGTGGCACCCCAAGAAATCAAAGGCATCACAGTGTGATGATACATATGGAGAAAAGTGATCTGCCTCTCCTTCTTGCGCAAGACAAAGAAGACAGTATCCAGGAGTTCGGATATCTTCGCCAAGAAGTATATATAGACACCTCGAGCAACCTAAAACAAATTTCACATTAATCATTCGTACCCTCGAATATTTTCCTTATGATCAAGCAAGCATCGTCGTACTTGACTTTTCGAAAGAGAAAAAAAAATTATTTTTTTTTCCCCATCAAACTCTTGGTCGCAAATTTGACTCCGTCAAAATAAATTCATTCGACCTCTTAACCTCTTCTTCGATTACAGTCACAGTACGAAGCCATGCTATATGGTACGTGATATCGAGTGCACGGCGGTGCGACGCACCGATGCATATCGGGGACGTCGAGCACCGTCCTTTAACTATCATTCAGTTTTAAATGATTTCAAGAGTAAAATAATAAACTTCTTAAATAACGAATACGACTCTTTTAATTAATTGTCATATATACTCTTCTCACCCTAAGGGCATCTGGCGTATTGGAATAATCAACTGGTTCGCATTTCCAGCTGTACTTCCTGAGCCAAGCGGCGTCGAGGCCCTCGTAAAAGAGCCAGACGCTGAGGATGACCTGAAGGAAGTTATAAAGGACTAGAATATTATTGAGCTGATAAGGTTTTCGATGTTCCATATGCCGTGGTCCCCAGGAGAGGACGAAATAGAGATAACCAATCATTATACTGGCACCGGGTACCGGAGAAGACATCAGAAACCAGTCTCTGGTCCTAGGGTCTGAAACATCAGACAAAATATATATATGTATATACATATATAGTACATAAGGAAAGATGTATCTCTATATACACTTCCCCACCCCTGACGATAATTTAAAATGGGTACCATGGGTATTGCTACAAAATAAAAAAAAAAGGTCATGACCATCATTTGACATTTGGAATAAAGGAGCTTCCCCGAAACGCAGAATAATAATATCAGTATGTCTACGCGGATTGGACGCAGAAAACGATATAAAAGAATGACGATACTTGACCTTGACAATATGGTACGTTAAAATCCTTCGTTGTTAATACGATTGAGGATTCGTCTTTTATATGTATATTTTATTATTATTATTATATATATATATATATATATATATATATATATATGTGTGCTTATGACTTACCGGCTATCTCGTGGAACACATGATGGTAGAACCGAACTACGGAATTATTATAGATGTTTGACATCTCGTTAACAATTGGCACGCTGCTACCGTTCATTGAAGGAATGGCTGAAAAATTAAAGGATAATTATTTATATATATTTTATGATTAACTGATTTTTGAAGTCTGACCAGTCGTTTCTTACGAGTTAAATTTTATTGATATTACGTATTGTATATTATGGGCAAGATATGAAAATATTAGGTACGACAATGGACTGAGATATCACAGATAATAATTCGATGATGACGATTGAGGAAGACTTGCTGTATGTCAAAAGAAAAAAGGGACTGTCTAATGGTAGACGGTAGGATAGAACTGGCAGTTTGCTGCTGATTTATCATACGTTAGATTGAACTGACTATAGTAGTGGGTGAACGGTCATTACCAGAAGCAACCGAGCATCCTGCTCGAATGCAGCCTAGAACCGTCTGAAGTTTAAGGCCTCAGGTTTTCTATAGTAGCTTGACGTCAAGTCTGTCTCTTTCTCTCTCTCCCTCTCTCTCTCTCTCTCTCTCTGTCATCAAGTCATAGCGATTCATTATGTCACACGGGAAATTAACCATTTCTATTTAGTCTCAGGATGCAATGAGACGAACGACGTATGCACGCGAGCACACTAGATTGGCTACGTTAATTTTAGGTTAGACTGTTGTACTCTCTAAGAAGATTTTATATCTGGGTATATCTGTGATTTATATATTTATGGCATTTGTTATTTAACGAACGGATTGTAAATATACAATTTATTATAAAGATTTAACGATACATATGGTTTTACGTGGGATTTTTAATTCTTTTTTTTTTGTCAAATTCCTTTGATCTATCGAGAAATCGGTTGGCTAATGACGTAACGTTAAATGCGAGGGGGGACTAAAATTATATAAGAAATTTTTGTATCCTCTGAAATACAGCCGGCTGGCTCATAATTAAGAATTATGCAAGTCTATATCGATTATTTTTGAAATTAGATTATGGCCTTACGATTTGAATTATTGAATTAAGTGGGTTGGCAGTCCCAGGAAGGATGCTAATTGTTTTTTAACGTTTAGATTTAGCAATTAATAATTGTCTGTTTGTACTTGAATCGATCGAAGTGGCTATCGATTCTTCATCAATGGCGTCCTGCTGGGACCGCGAATAGAAAAGAAATAGTGAACAAAGAACGGCGTACAGAGTCAAGCCTTTCTAAGAACATAAAAACAGCAATGCAGCCCACCTCGAGGCAAGAAGCCGATACTTTTACTACGAGAGCAGTGCCAACGTCGAACCGTTAAATTTAATCAGATATTTGGTAGAAAATAAAATTAGCACGTGCAAGAAAACGTCAGAAACACCTGATCAGTGACGAGTCAAATGAACAGGTAACTATAACAGTGAATAATATAATTGAAATTAAAAATAATTTTCGTAAATAAAAAGATTTTTTAGACAAAACTTATTATCGGATTAAAAATCAAATTTAATAAGTTTATTTTTAAACAAATTTTTTTATATTAAAATATATGGTTCTCTCTTTGCGGCATATGTAAGATGTCACATACAAGTACTGATGTTGATTTTATTGAATGACAAAATCGAGGCGTATCTATATGCCGTGAACACGTATTGTGCCATTGTCGATCACCATATGGGCACGCGTATTTAAACAACAATAATAATTATTTGGAATCCAGGTAAATAACTGCAAATAAATTGGCGTTACGAAATGCAGCATTAGGTACGCTGTTCGCTTGACGCGGCAAAGTCGTTGGTGCGGTGAGAAACGTGTGTTGGAGCAGAGGTTTCCTTTAGCAGGTGTACGTACAGTACAGGTACATATAGATCGTACAGATAGACTACTCAGGTGTATGCATTTGTTCATTTGTTGTGCACCGCAGAAAACTTACGAAGCCCACACACTGTGCCCACATGTCTATTAAGGGTCGTAATACTAAGTAATGTGTAGTTTCTCCATTGCAACACATATGTGTTTCCAGTCGATTTCTATGACTTTGCCTTAAGTACCTTTGCCTTGCCTTGAGTACGTATAATATATTGCACACTCGCGCTTCTAAAATTAATATGAATTTCGTTTCCATCTTTTATCTTTATCTTTTTATTTTACACCAACCTGAACACTTTGTTTCCCATCTCTTTTTAATCGTCTGAAACGATATGTATATAATGTTATATGTAATTTTAATGAATAAGTTGATGATTATGAGTGACCATTTAATCCATGATTTTTGTGCATAGCCCGTATAAGAAAGTCAGTATATTATTATTATGAAATATATGGATAACACAGTGTTTTGTTATTATTAAAGCGTTAATGTCATTTTATGTCTCTGATATAACAAAATTTTATATCCTTTCATCGTTGTGAGTGTTTATAGGGGTTTTGAGTAATCGTTACGAGAATCCAATTTAATACGGTTTTAAGACGTGCGCAAGACGGGATACATTTAGTTGCGCGGTCGAGATGAGAAGTTCGAGCAAATAACGCGCAGCCAGGATATACTGAAACTGCAGAATATCTATGCCGCCGAGAGTATAACGTATCTTCGCGAAAATGCAAACGGTGTCACAGTTGCCCTGCAAAGTTTCTATACCGGTTTTCAATGTAAGTCAAACGTCCTATAGTAATAATGTCACGTGTATTCACGCAAACGGAAGGTTTGAGTTCGATAAGCAACATATGCATTATGACACCCACGCGACAGAAACTCGTTGGCACTCTGTCCAGCCACGTATTTAGCGACGTGCAACGTGATTAGTGGGTTGGTTTATCAATAAATAGTGCTAAATAGAGCTATGTAATTGTGCAAGAATAGACAAAGCCTATAAGACTGTTTAAAAGAACAATTAGTACCTAACAAAAAATTATTACAGCGTTAAATACTTCGCGTAACAGATCGTCACTTGAGTTTACAAAAACTACCGCCAACCTGCTGTGGGGCTGCAAACGTTCCCATAAGCCATTACTTTCTTCTATTGTCTGGCGGTATTGCGCGAAATGACGAAACTAAATTAATTTAATGCTTATTAACCTTCGTACATCTTGAGACGACTATGGGATTTCAAAAATAGCGGTTTGTCCGTGAACAAATGTTTTAACTGAACAGTCGTGATTCATGATTAAAAAATGATTAACTATTTATCTTAAAGATTTTAGATATAATTTTAATCAATTGATACGTTAATCATTAGTGAAATTGGTCATACGACTATGTATCATGACAAGTATCGGCGGTGATACCGTGCTTGGAGATGGATTTCAGTGAAATATTGAATTTACGTAATGATGCACATTGTGAATGTCTAATCCCTCTTAATAAAACGACAGGAATAAAAGTTTCTAGATGGAACAATATAATAGAAACGTTGGCTCGACTACTTTGATGATTTATTGAAAAATAAATTACTCATCAACAATACGACTTCCCCGTTTCTGCTTAGAGTCTGGTTGCGATTCATGCAAAAACGGAGTTGCTGCGCGTCGACAAAGGGAATCGTTAAAAAGTATCAGACCAAGAAATCTTCTATAAATATTCTTGATCCTTTGACGCTATCGTCTGACCTGTTCAAAAAAAACAAGTACACCTTGCCACGGCAGCAATTCGAAATTCTACAAGTGCAACGAAGCATCGCTCGATATGGATGACCTCTGTCATCGATCGATTGTCTCTTTTTACGTACATTAAAAATTCCACCTGATTTTCGACAGGATTAATATTTCAGAACATGGATCAAAACAACGACACAGCACACTACTCTGATCGCACAACTTTGTCCGGGTCGATGTAACCGCGCTTTATTGGTTTCCTGCTACGCTTTCTTCCTGGCATTTCTCTGCCGACTGACATACAAGTCTCAGCGGCCGGTCGACCTGTTACGTGTACCAAACACGACAGAGCGTGTGTATAACGCACTGAGAGGATAGGTCGCCCCGAGGTACATATGCATACCTTGAAAAATATTTTCTGCGTGGCTGAGCCATGATTTCAAGAAAATAGACAACGGTAGAGAAATAAAGCCGAGGACACATAGGAGGAGCACGAGTCCAGGACAAAATACAGTAACGGATGAGCACGAAAAAAAAAATGTAAACTCACCCCAAATCATCCCCACAATAAACTTACCCTCTCGCCAATCTACTCACACTTCAATAAAATTCATCTGATAATTAATTCTAAAATTTTGTACTGGTTATTAAAAATTTCTTTCACAATTTGTAGCCGATTTCACAAAAATGCGATATCTAAAAAAAAATCCAAATTTCATATATCTTGACTCTTTAGTGTACATACTATACAGTAATTGCTACCATTAAGTTCACTCATACAAGGAAGTTAAGATCGGATGGTGATCGTACCGATCCCTACTATTTCCTGCAATCGGTCATGTAACATTGCGGGTTCTTATATGGCGGATAACGCGAGTACGTAATTCGCCGGTAGAACGAGAGAAAACTGTCTAATAGTTTTGCATACATGAATCTCTCGAGATATGCAGACTGTAGTAAATATAATCTATCAGTAATGCAGCCGCACCTCCATCGTGCGACGAAGTCTGTCGAATTAGCTTACGAAATATTTATACTTTTCGTGTGTATATACATATATATTACACGTAAGAACCCCTTCTCCAGGTAGTCAATCAGCACCTTTTTCTTCGTGGACCCTTTCATTTCATTATCCTGGAGCAGTCACGCATTCACGCATGTGCGATTTACGCATGCATCCACCAACCGTGCATGATGACTCGCGATCGTGACGCAGGAAGGACGGTGAAAGGCGACCCCTGACAACGTTACCGCGAATCACGGTTAATATGGTACCGGAGCGCAGGAAGCAAGATCAAAGAACTAAACGGCGTCTATGTTGATCGACATTTTTTTACGGAGACAATTATTATTATTATTCATATTACTCTTCATATAACTTTGGACAAATAATTTTGCAGGTTTAATCGAGGTGAACTTCTTCGCGCACAACACGTTCATCTGTCCGCGAAGAATGTCCCGTTTTCTAAGTATATCGCTTAACAAGGTAAATATGCGACAAAAACTAAGAGAACTGGTTTGAACACGGAAGAATTGTCATTTGAATTTATAGCGAAGTTTAACTGGTTTGGATTAGCATGATATTGTAGAGTGAACTTTGTGTTTTTCTTTCAATGATGTAATTAAAATATTTATTTATGAATGACTTACCGCGAGTGAGAAAATACGGGAATTCGATGCTGGCGATTATGTTACACTACAAATCCATTACTAGCTCTTCCTTTCGTGTTGATAAGTATAACACTAATCGAAGAACCTCGAGCACCTCGTCCTTCCGCAGGACGAGTCAAATGGATTTGAACGAAGGACACTGTCGGCTGGTTCGAGGATCGGGAGGCGTTGGTCCGTTACGAGCGTACGAGCCAGTCGAAAGGGAAAGTCTTAAAGGTTAGGAGATTAGATGGTCCAGATTTAGTATGAGAGGTGGAGGGAGATGAAAGTGGATGAGATAAAAAAAAAAGAAAAAAAATGTGATTTAGAAAAAGTATACGCTGTATATAAAATTAATAGGAAATAGCCTGACGAGAGTCCCCATGGAGGCAGTGAAAAAAATAATTTTAGCCTAATTTTTCAAAAATGGGGAAATGTAAAAATTAAGAAAAAATTTCGGCAAATTGAAAAAAATAAAGAAGAAAGGGGATTTAGCGAAAAAATGATTAATCGTAGTTCTGGGACGAGGTGAAGTGACGGAGGTTGAAGTCAAGGGTGGAAGGGTCGTTCTAGGAAGAAGGAGATGGCGCAGAGGAAAAAGCACGAGGTCGATGCTGCACGTCCCGATGATCATCTAGAACTGGGCCCATCATAGCCACGGACTCTTTTCCCTGGATAAGTCCACGAAGTGGGGCCCTGGCTTGGGGTTTTCGCAGTGGGGGTCCGATTCCAGAGGCCCCTCTTGGAGAACCAGGTCCAGAAGCTATCATTTCTCTCCCGTTACTACTGGTCAGGGTTACGTCACAGTAACAAAGTTGTATAATAGCCCTCTCTCTCCGTTGATCGCCCAAGGCACGTCGTTCCTCACCGCTGTTACAAACCTTAACGCATTCACGCGTTTCTCCCAATCGAAATCGTAATCGTTATCCTTTAAGATCTTGTCGATCCAGTAATTCGGCAAATTTTGTTTTCGAATTATTAAGAAATTTTTAAAAGAATTTATCATCTTCCACAAGGTATTTGTGCATATCCGCCATTTTTTATTTCAAGGATAAAACCCGTCCGAGAAATCGTACGGAAAGTACGAACCGCACTTGAAATCAATTCACATGAAAAATCCGAAGAAATAATTTACTGAACTCATATTACCTAACTAGTGTGTTTTAAGTGAGGGGCCGAATTTCGATGTTACGCCACTGTTACCTCCATCTGAACACCTGGCTGATCACCTTCCAAATTTCCAATTTCTAGTCATATCCTATTATCCCTACCCTATCCCCTTCATTATCACGTAACTTTTAACGTACGGCTGAGGTCTGGGAGGCGATTGCAAAAAGTATGCTTACTTCTTTGGATCTTGTACCTCAAAAATTTTTGAAGTCTGCTGAGCCGTTTTTTGAATTTGAATTTTTCTTTGTATTCTCATAGAAATTAAAAAAATTTTTTTACCATCCGAACTGCATGAAAGCTCGATGATTTTTTCGAACGGTTTATCAATGCTCTTGTGACATTGGGACTACCCCAAAATTATAAATATGCAATCTATGTATATACTGAAATGAATGCATGTTATTCACTATGACGTAAATTCTCAAAAAAAATATAACAGGAATGCAGACTGCAGAATGGTAATGCTCGTTCATTAGTTACATACGAGAATAATCGATCGATGGATTATATTAAAATTGATTAAGGACTTCCTGTTGAAACGCAATGATTTTCATCGACAAAAATTCCAGTCGACCGTTAATACGTGTGGGGAATCTGATATAAATAGTAATAAATTTCTACGAAAGATTTTGGTAAAAGCATATAAAATATTTGTAGAAAAAAAAATTACTTTCACACCCCACGCCTATATCCCAAAGTGATTTTAATTGGTGAAAAAAAAATATTCACAATTTCTAAAATAGCATGAATTACTGCGTCGAACATTACTGAATTTTTGTAGAAAAATTTTGTCCATTCCCCCTTCTATCCATCCGTCCACCTACTTCCAATCGGAATACGTGATTACCCAGTGATCTTGCAATCTAAATTGTCGTGAAAGCTGGCAGACATCAAAGTCCACACGAAGACTACGAAATATCTGACCATTTTAAGAAGCTGATAATTACGAATGTTAATTCCTACAATTATCATTGTACGATCATCATTATATTTTATCGTTCGTATCAATTCTATAACATATTGATAAACTATCAAAATTTTATTATGCATATACATAATTCTATATGTTCCACGTGCTACCTGTTTTTTGTTCTTCATCGATACGTGTCGATATACGTCGTCATGCTTGTTGTGTTAAATCCTGTTGACCAAGAAAGTGTGTATATATATACATATATATATACAAACACCATTTACTACCTCAGCAACTTAACAGCTTAACAGGTTGGTAGTCCGGCAGGCTGGTAACTTAACCAGGAGATACTTCGGTAAGGACAGGCCCGCTAAGTAAATGCCTTGACTACTTCGAGAGCCAAGCTAGTATTTGATCGCGTGTTGCAATTTGCTGAAGAAAGGAGAGAGAATTATTTAGCAAGAGAACCGTGTACTCGGACATCAGCTCACGTCAGTTTCGCAATATCGAAATGGCCAGAGTCGACTGGAGATGTTTGAGGACCACCGAAATATATCGATGTCAACGGATCTGTTGAATACATGGATAATAATTATGGGTAATAAAATTATGGATTATTTTTAGAATATATAATTATTATTATACGAGGATAATTATTGTACGAGTATCATTGTTGTATTTGACCGATGTACACGCGTAGTAGAAAGTGTCCATACGTCCATGGGACGTCTGTATGATGTACTTTGGATGTTTTTTGTCGTGGCAATTATATATGAAATTTCTGAATTATGCCAATTGATGCTTGATAATTTGACGATGGAAATTTTGGTAACGAATACTTTATGCAACAGTTAAATTTGAATTTCATGACTGGAAAATCCTTTGAGTGCAGGAAGACTTGTGGTTGTTTTCTTTGTTTTTTTAACGTCGGTGAGAGACAAATGTGGCGCGACGATCACTTCGCAGTTGAATCTTGCTTAATGCCGAAATATTATACTTTCATTTTATTTAACAGACAGTGTACAAAACTATCCAGTCATTTTGTGTACAGATTTTTTGTTTCTTTGTTGTTGAATGTAGTTCACCCTATTAGACAACTACGACAAGTCAACCACGATGTCTTTCGACATCGATTACGAACGCGATTCCGTTAGTCGACTAACTTCACTCGAGAGAAAAAAGTTCCCGCCATTTTTCAAATTATTTATTTATATTTAAATAAAGGGAACGTCGGAACGGAACCATAAAATACTTTCCCCTTTTCACTCATTGCGAATTTATTGACTTTCTACGAAATCTTCATTTCGTCTCAAAAAAAGTACGGCAGATGGCGTTGCGGTCGTAATAAAGTTACGGCTTAATTGCATATAGCAAAACGTGACTCGGGTTTAGAGAAGTTCCAAATAAAATTGCAAGAATGCGTGACACTGCGTGGCAGACTAAATAGTACTTTATCAGTGTGCGCGCGCGTGACAGAAAATACAAAGTGATGAAATCGACCATGAAAATATCAAAATGTCATAATTTATCTGTTAGTCGTGTTAGAGTCTCATAAGATTGGGTTAACAAATAAAAAAAGAATTTACATTTTCTCTATCTAAAGAAGAACGACGTAATCGTCGATTGCAAACAACATGGTCAACCGTAATAATTGATTTTAAAAAAACAACAGATTTTTCTCTATTTTATAAGACGCACGTCCACACGAGAAATAATAATAACAACCGGAGATTTTCTCCTTGTCAAAACAAAACGGGACGTCATTATATTCCTTTATCTTCTTTTTTTTTAAATCATTATCACGTCCGCCACTGAGAAAATGTTTTGTCGTATAATACTATTATTGCTCTTTTGTCTCTTGTTTTCGTGTTTTTCGCCGAGTATTTTTGGGTCAGTCACGTTTACGTTATGTTGCGAAGCAACGATAAACAGGAAATGTGTGCATTAATTGGACCCACCACCGTGTTCCGTTGCGCAATTAAAGCTTTTTTGTTTCATGTGAAAATCATTCTAACCTCAAATTTCGATTTTACAAAAATTACACGTACCCCGTTATGATACCGCGAAACGTGCGACAGATGAGTGCTGGATGTTCGATAAGTCGAATAAAAAAGAAGTAGTCACCATTGAGAGAAGTTTTCGGGTAAAAATCATCGAACGAAGACGCAAGTCACGCCTGATGACTTTGCATTAATTGTGAGATAGACGAAAATACGAAGAGACAGAAGGGGAAAGAGACAAATAAAATAACGGCTGAGCAGGTAAGAGATATACCATAGAAACAGAGACCATAAACAGACTGTCATTCAATGAGGTACATTACGAGGAATCGACAGTCAATGTTTAAAGTACCCGCGGAATTCCGTAACCTGACGGCAGATGGCAACACAGACCACAGTAACGATTTCGCATAACGTAATCATCGGGAACTCAACGATCATCCTGTTACGTGTGGACCGTACCTAATACACATTGCACACTAATTTTATGCGGAACGCCAAATTTTTTAATTTCAAAAAATCATTAAAAATCGCATCAACGACGACGAATAAGCAACGCGGAAAAAGATGGACAAAGTGTTTCCACGTTATTCCAAAGATCATCAAATAACGTAACGACTGTGAGGAAATTGCTAGGAACTCAAATTAGTCGGTCTTAACGAGGGAAAGAGTTGTTTTTATTATGGTGCTAAGACGTCGGGAGGCCGATACTATAAGCAACGCGGGTTGCGGTTAAACAGGGGCACTGCAAACATACCTAAACGTCCACAAGAATTATTTTTCGAAATTTAACAAAATTTTTCTTCGCTTCGTACAATTTCAAATAAGTCCAAAAAATATAATTAATTTTTTTTATTTTATCATCTTTTCCCTCATTTATCCATATCGCCAATAACCTTTGTATACCGATTGGCATGGAGTCAAGAAATACATTTAACGGCTACTCTCGTGCGAGAGTTTCGAATGGCGTAAGACGAACGTAAGAAAGTAACGTGAGGTCGTAAACGCACGTAGGGTTGCAGGAAGGCCGACCGCTTTGCCGAAGATACGGAAAAAAAAAAACAGGAGTGCCGCACATTGCTGATACTTGGTACGACGTTGATTCGTATGTGCATACTGCACTTATTTAATAGGTATCACGAACCCAAATGAAACTTTGAGCCAGATGCATTATGCACTTGTGCATACAAATAGAATTATTGTACTGACGTGCAAGACGTCAGTACGAATTAGAAACGTGTGTCTTCAGATACCGACCAGCCAATGGTCACAGTGAAACAACAAATAATAAGTAATACCATAAAAAAATTGAAGTGTCACAGTGATGCATTTACTGCAGTTGCATTCACAATGGTGCATCAACTTTACGCAAAACATGACAGCGCGTAATGCTTTTCAGCCGCGGGGCATTGCACGATCAAAACAACGATTAATTCGAGACGCAAAAAAATAAATGCCGGCTATCTATTCGATAGAATTATGCATTCGAAGCGCAGTATGCACCTGGCATACGCGAATGTTACGCTCTCTGACAACACTTTGTGAGTAATTATTAATAACTTAATGTTTATTGGCTTGAGATTATTAACTAACATTCATTAGAAAAAGATTTCGGAATACTAATCTGTTTGTCGTTTTATTTCTAGAAATTATAATAAACTAAGGATTATCATTGTATTTGATAAATGTGCGTACGTGGTTGATAGGTTATGTGCCCTAAGTTTATATAATAAATCTTATTCCTCATAAAAATATATATATACACACGCGCGCACACATAAACACGCATGACGACTATTGACGTTAAATTTAAATTGGCAAAGCTATTATTGATATTCATACCAATCAAGACTTCCCCGATTACTTTGTTCGTGTGTATTGTCGGTGTGAGGAATCCTTTAGACTTTTTTCACGACAATATAATATTCAGTGTCATGATATTTCGATGACGCAATATCAACAATGTTATGCATTAATATGCAACAAGTTGTATTACATTCGCACGTCCGAGATCATATTATGAAACGACCTTTAATTGTGCATGTGTATTAGATCTATAAAACAAGTTTTTTTTAAATATATCAATTGGACAATAACTTTCTTATACGAAGTAATAAAAAAAACAGTAGGAAAACATATGTAAATTTTGTTATTTCATCTATGAAGGAATTTCATTTTAGGATTGAATGGGAAGATTATTTTGTCACATTTTTCTATGGTTGCCTCATAGATATCATTATGGTACTTATAGTACGAAACAGAATTTTCTTATTAGTTCGATTAGCATAATAACATTTGAATACAAAAAATTTATTCAGTGTAATGAATTTATATTTGACGTTTATGAGCTGTTTTAGAAAATCCTGATCTTTAGAATCAATTCACTTTTAACTACTCTGAAGTTAGTCAATGCACTAAGAGACTAGTAATAGTAAGAGGAGTAAGAGGTATGTATATGTAGAGTTTCATGTGATTTTTTAAAATATCGTCCGACTAGTTCAGCGGATATAATAATGTGTTCGAATTATCGAAGATACACATGTTAATTGCCGCTCGAACATGTAAAAAAGATTATGGTCAATGGCAAATGAAAAAGTAGAAGAAAAAAATAATAACACTGTAAACCAAGCGTGAAAGGAAAATGCACTTGATAATAATACATTGATTCTTTAGCGCGTACAGGTGGACAAAAGTGAACAAAAAATGTATTAAGAAAAATTCGAACGATCTTGACACTAACGCTTTAGTTCCTATCCGTTAAACTTCAGTAGGTTACATATACTTATAAATGTATGCAAAAAGCTGATAATTTGTATTGCATTCGCAATTGCAACTTGATAAAGAAAACGCATATTCATTTATGCACGACGTGTCGTACATGATGGTCCGGGGTCAAATAGCCGATTTTGCGATTGGCCATTTTTCATAGTGTTGCATTACCAAATAAACCGTGCACAGCGCTATTTGAGTCACAGCAGCACGGGAATTTACGTAAGTCGTACTACTTAAAATACAGTCTGTGTACGAATTTTTTTTATACATCATACAACCTTTGTTCACAGACATCTCCTTGATTCACATAGTCATTCTCTAGGAGATTTCTTCCGCCATCTTTCATTGTCATATGGTAACATCGTGAATTCCCCATTAATCACAGTCTCCGTATGTCTTTTAACGAGTCGACAGAATTCTTAATACTCAATACACTCGTTATTTGATTCTTAATCAATTTCGACGATTCTATTCACTTTACTTTTTACTTTTATATATAGCCACTAGCTAAATTGCTAGTTCAAAAATTTCCGCCAGGTTTTACTGCATCGAGCGCTTAGCGGCCATTTCGGCGGGAAGGGTGACTCAGATCGGGGGTCTGGCAAGAGACACAACATCCTCGTGTCATGCCAGCATAAACTATAAACAGCGAAACTGGCCCTAAACCGGTTGTATTACGCATATTATAAGCAATTGGACGTACTGTTGGAAGAGTGAACACTGAAACTGAGAAAAAGGATGGACGACGGTGGGATTCCCGTGACAGTTTCATTTTTTTAACGCTGTTGTTGACATTGCTGGAGAATACCAGCGATTCATAACCTGAGAGCAGTGGAATCGACAAGGAGAGACGAAGATCTTTCTTGTGGACTGTTTTACACGATCAATGTCATTAAGGTAATATTACTCGAATATGATTAATGGTAATTAGATAAACAAATATTTACGTCACTGTACAATACGTATGTATATGCAGGGTTATGCAGGACTGTTGCACCACTTGAATATGGTCTACCGTAGGGAATGATAGAAATAACATAAGCGCGCTAAGTTCAAATGCTACAAGAATCTTGAATGACCATATATAGGGTTATTCACGGCAAACGCATCCCCTGAAATTGTTCCAAGTTCTCGGCTTTATCATCGTAAGATAGCAATTACCAGCACCGTTTTCCGTCCCACCTGAAGTTAGCCTATGCATTTAATTTTTGTTCTTCCATAGAAAAAAGATTGTAGAACTACAGAAATCAAATTTACAAATAGACATTTATATGGTGCATTGTCGTGAATAACCTTGTATATATTGCTACGTAAATCGCTACCTAACTTAAATAAAAATGTTTCCTTTTTTTAGATGGTTATTTATTTTACAAAAAGAAAAAAGAATTTAAGGAACCCAAGAAAAAGGATTGAATTGGTGTGTGATGCCTAATGACATGTGTTGGAATTCTTATGGCCGCCGGGCATAATACCACGAGAAAGATACAAAAAATGATGCTTTGACCTCAAGATCGATTCCTTACGTCAATTATTGAAGAAAAATATAATCTACTCGAAACTTAAAGGCAACGTCAATAATTTACGACAAAAGGTGAGAATCAAAACGGGTGATCTTTGATTGATTGGAAGAAAATTATTGACACGCGGTCTTTATTCAAGGTTACTACCGGACGTCGGTACAATCATTAAGACGATCAGGAAGGCCCAAGTCCTCACTTTTAATTAGCTCATAAAACGATTCATGGAAAGAAATGGAAGATCACGTTCTTGTAATAAACATCTGACAAAAAGCTTATGAGTTCTCCTCTTCTCAGAAAAATCACAGGATATTTAGCTAACAATGGATTCTACAAATATTCCATTTAATGAGAAAAAAATTTTACATACTCCAGAATGAACCATATATAAACAGGTATGTTAACACAAGTGTCTTAGATACCGGATGGCCATGCCCGTGTGTAGTATCTAACACATTCAAGTATACGCGGAAGAATTATTCAAATAGTCCATCCACACCATGAATCAAGGAGGTCTTGCTGATTCGAGCGAGCCGGTACAAAGATCAGTCATTCATCCTTCTTTCGAGGAACCCCCAAAAAAAGAAGACATCCGTTATTCTCAGGTAGATAATCTGTCATATATAAAATGTATACACAATTATTTATAAAAAGTATGGATTCACGTCTAGCAGTACATATTAAACACGTTAAAATATCCACAGGAAGACAGAAAAATGTGATGACGAAGATTCGAGAGTCTAGAAATTGTTAAACCAGTTACACGTGCAAGAATTGAGGAGCACATGGTCCTTATTTGTATTACGTAACTATTGGTCAATCCGCAAATGCATGGCACTGCAATTATTCCTGAAAATAATGAGGACTCTGCCGATTGTCTTTCAGTTTGTCACTACGTAAATTATTGTCTGCTGCAAAGTCGGTCAGTTTGCAATGTCTGGTTATATCGTTAGCCAAAGCGACGTTACTACCGTTAAATGATTCTTGCCTAATCAGCCAATCGCAAACTTTTTTTAGACTGAAGCAATGCCCTATCCAATATTGAAATTTTTGAATATCGAATAATGTATAATACATATTACATATTCGCAACGACCTATTGGACTCTGAGCCTTGGTCACGAAAGTGAAGAAACACCGAAATACAGTAAAATAAACATGCTGTCGTGTAAACAAAAGGAATCGTATGGATTTATAAATAGCTGTTACCGCCGAAAACCATCAACGACAGAATCGAGTGAAGTACAGGATCTGAAGAAGTGTTGAATGAAAGTGTAAAGCTAAGGATGTGATTTGGACATTTTGAAAATGCTTGCAAGTTTAAAATACAATATGAAGTGATGATGACGTTATAAAACTTAGAGAATTTAGCGTGTCTTCGACTTCGAATTTTGGAACTATTTTTCATCTATCTTTCACATTAATTCTCTACGATATTCTGATGATCAATTAACTTTTTCAAATTGGGACCTTGACTTCTGTCGAGGTTGCTATTTCAGGTGGTGCCCACAGGTTGATCTCCCACTCCTGGCCCCGCGGGACCCCACTTGGATAGCCAATACTTAAGCCAGGAGTTTGTGCTGCCTGGGACTATTCCTTCAGCATCGGCCGGTGGACCCATGTCTATAAAATTGTGTGTTAACGAACGTACGCACATTGTATGGACATTGAGGAGCGCGCGCGCATCTCTCCTCGAACATCTCGCGATTTTTTTCTAATCAGGATCGATCTGTTGATCACTAAAAACGAACAGATCTGAGTGGATTTGTGAGAATCATCAGAAAGCTCAACAAAGTTCTCCAGGATAGATACCCAGTGACTCGTTAAAATCCACCATCATTAAAATTCATTTAAAAAATTCTAAGACGCTGAGGACGAAAAATTAAACAACCTGAAAGTTCATATTTAATATATGAACGAATCTAATTAATCGTACTTCGTGTAATTACGGCATTAACATTAACAATTAAAAATATTATTTAACTTGGATCATCCTTCCACTTAATCGATATTTTATCGAGTGAAGTGAAGTGTCGGGTTCGCCAAGAACATTAAATTAAACAGGTAAGTTTGAAGGAAGATTAAATATCAATTTCGATTTCTATTGATTTCCATCTTATTGAAATAATATTTATCGACTAATAATCGATTTACATTTTTTTTTTTATCAATCATACGCTATTAATTCTTTTTTGCTTCATAAGGGTCAAAACTAAAGATCTTAACCGCACGTCTGCTCTATAAATCGGTATTTCATACCACACCGGTATGGTACATGTTAGTAGTCACATCGGTACCGTGGTCACCTACCCGCCTTAACGTGACTTAAAAATATTACGTGAAATGTAATTTAAAGAGCATGTGAAACGCGCTTCGTTACACAATCATTCTACGAAACAAGCCGTAATATTCAGCACAAGGTCGCTGGACCGTTTCGACGTGTTTCTCAATGGCTCCAAAAGAGTATCAACATGCGTGTTCGAAATGATGCGTGTGTACCTGGGTAAAGGCAGCAACGAAGTTCGGTAACGTGGAACAAATTCTAGCCCGAACGGACCAGTCTGATAAACTGGTTCCAAAGAAGAATAATAAAAAGTTTGCTAACGATAATACATAAAAGAATTACAACGCATATTAGATTCTCGAAATGTATAATTTAATAAAAACATATTTTTTCATTTTACCATAAATAAGATCATTTACCTGCTGGATGCACCCCGTTGCATTTCTTAAGCCTACTTTCCACAGGCACAGCCAGTACCCACTTCGTACTGATATTCAAGTCAGATCTGAAAATTCAATTTGTCCTTAACGAATTTATGTAATGTAATATTATAATTGATATTATTCATAGAGTTACATCACAGGAAAGCCTTCTCGTGACAACTGGCAATCGACGAAAATTATAATCGAAAACAAATTCCTGAACCATAATCTCAGGGACAGCTTGCACGCATCTACATGATGCATAAACACTCAAAAGGTTCTCCCTCACGAGGCTGGGATAATTAAAAATATCCAAAATAAACTAAATAATAGGAATATATTCATATACCAATGAGCTTTACAATGTAAAGTGTCTACCAAAAGCAATTTTCCAATGCTGCTGTCCTTCGACTGGATCAACTTTTCTTAAAGTATCAAAAAATCCAGTATATTGGATTTTATTTCAGCATCCGATACAGTTGGGAAATTCTCATGGTGAGAAAGGTATCAACCAACTATTTTATACTGCAGTTGGATACTCGGAAAGGACAAAGATACGGGCTACGGCAACATAGAACCGGATGGCCAAGAAGAAGTTCGTTGCCAAGGTCACATCATAAGTCACTGATGGTGTGGATATAATTTTATTGCCCTCTGAACTTTTTCTCACCTGTACTAAATTAATCATTACGGCGCATCTTAGCTCAGCATACAATATCTGTCAGTCTGTCATTCTGATGGCTATGGAATGGAGTTCGAAGTCCGCAAGAGAGTCAAGAGCAAGATGCGTGACTCGCGTGGCCACGTTTACTGAGCAATTGGGGTCGCCGTTGTGAAAAGGAGCTGCGTGAAGTCCGTCCCGTTTTTCGAAGTCAAGAATAAGTGTTACGAAAGTAAAAAGGATCTTCGTAGAACACGGGAGCAGAAGAGAGGACAGTTCGCGATGGTATACTGAGGAATTTCAGTAGTTGGCGACCACCTTGTTTTTAGTGAGAAAAGAGGGAGAGATGGCGATTCAATGAAACGAGAAAGAAATGCACTTGATGAAGTGAGATCTTCGTATTGTACAAAGAGACAAGACAATTTATCATTCTAATTATTAAACAATTTGTCTTTGACTTCCGTAATTGTCTGTGATACGTTTACCGGACTTTCCTGAATTAATATATATATATCGTCCTTGCTTGAAGACACCTTCCGTGGTGTCAGTGGGCGGAAGGAGACAAGATCAGCCAGTCGTCCTCGAGATATCGAAAGAGAATATGTTTAAACACCTCAAACCAAGTGTAAAAAAATGTTAATCAGTGTCCTCGTCTCCAGTTAATGGATTAAAGAAAATATGTTGAAGAATTTGAGAGTTTCAACGACAACACCTTCACTGAGCAAGGTCATCGCCTTGATAGAGAGTGACAGAACAGACTAAAAATTTTTCAAGCTTGACAAGGTCGTCCACAGAACTTCGTTTGAAGATCGTACGTGGAACAAGGATGACCAATGGTCAGCATGAATTAAAAAGTTCAGAACCTGAGATATCACGCGAGAAGATCTAAGATCGCTAGATATATCTTTAGAATTTGTTGACACAATAACAAAATGGCTTTCGTGTATGTCCAAACATTCAAAAGGAAATGTATCCTAGATGTTGGCGCCTAAAAGATAAGTTTCCTCCTTCAGTCTCTCTCTACTTAGAATAATCGGGGCCTAGATAAACCAATCACTTGGATACCGTGAAGCAGATCCCGTTTGGCTCCGTTCATCAACCTTAAAAGAATCTGAAAGTAAAAAGCAAAAAGTTGAGGAGCAAACGACCAATGAAGGAAGTCCGTTGGTCACTTTATAGGAGGCCTCAACAGCCGGCCCACTTACCCACTAACTTAGAAGAGTCTGAGGCGTCCTGATACGAGGTGTATATAGGTGGGACGCAGCAGCGTCATTCGCCGGCACGTTTCTAACCTCTATAGATACCATATAATCAGGCAACAGTCCCTACCCTATAACAAATTTTATATAGGCATGGGCCAGAATCCCAGTATTGTGAGAGTCTCGACGGAAATGTCTTTCTCTTGAGAGTGAGAAATCCGAAGACTCTTGTAGATGAACTTTCTCTGTAGCAAGTACCGTTCGTTCACCATCTGCGTGAGCCATCATCCACGCCTGCTGACTGTCTAATACGAGACCATAATACCATTAAGTCCCATTTCCGAACGTAATATTCTAAATATCGACTCATAACAATTTTCGATAATAACATTCAAGGACAGACGTCTACGACGTTCGTTAATTGTAGGACAGCTTGAGACCTTTGTCAGACTAGCCAGATTTCGTTTCAATGCGAATTTCAGAATTGCAGGAGTTTTTTAAAAAATTAAACTGGTCTAGGAATTTGCGAAGTCGGTAAAGATCCTCGTTCGTCGTTCAAGCCTGACGAATGCAGTCGGTCTGGAAATTCAAAGACTAACACAACAGTACACTCTTACCCAGAGTAAGAGTGACTGGTAGATTCACAACAAAGCGATAACAGATAAGGAGCTATCCCCAGTGATTACTCTTGTAAAAACGTCGTTCTTAGATAATGAAGAAAAAGCCGTGAATCTAGATTAAATGCTCTACTCCGCTGCATCCAAAGGATTTCCGCTATTTCGCTTGATCCTCGCGCCTCGTTTCCACTTCGTTTGATCCTTACTTCTTTTCTTTAAAAGCAGGTCGCCAATATTATAAGTAACGTCTTGATGGCGCTGACGCACGCGTATACGGAATACGTGTATTAATATACTTTTCTTTCTCTCTAAAATATTCAGTTTCGTTATTGCCACGTTTCGTGATTCACCCTTGAAAATTTACTTTTCCAACAGTTCCCTTGTATCTTTGTGGGTTTACTTCTCTTCTCCAATTCACTTGGGTCAAGCAGTTCTTGAATACCGTAACTACTTAAAAATTACCAGCATATTTTTTTCAACGTTTAATCCCTCGTAGACCTTCAGCAGCAAGATATTCCGCCCAAGGGGTCTTAATTTGTCTGTGCCGGATAGAGTACTGTTCTTCCGCCTTATTATTACGCAAGTCTAAGTATAAACAAAAAACCGGTACCTCGAAATGACGTTGGCAAAAATCAAGAAAGTAGATATACGCTTTGCTCAAAATTGACGCAGATTCTATACGTAGCTATGACCGCAGATGAGCACTTTACGATTAGGTGTAGTCGAAAAAAAAAAAAAACGTATGACGAGGAGCAATAAGTTGTCGTTCAAACAGGTTAGGTAACTTTGATGAGACGTCGGGTTAATATCCGCGAAGATTGCGGTTCGTGAGACCTTCACAACCTCATATCCTCTCTTGTCTGCTTTGCTTTTTCCCTTCTCACCTCTCGTATCTCACCACCTAGCCTAAAATATTTCAATATGAACTCGCACCTGATTGTGTAAATTGATTTTCAAATTAACAGCATCTTATCAATGAATTTTTTACCTTTGATCTCAAACCCATCTTTTAGTATCGTATACTAATTTTATAATTTATATACGTTTCACGTGAATTTTTTATTATCACAGACAAACTGGCATCAGCAGCTGCAGAATTGGTGGCCGAGCGGGAGCCGGAGCCACGCAATGAAATACCCATGGTGGACACAAACAGAAGCTTCGTTGGTGCTGAGGGTCTCGTGAGGATGGCCCTGCATCAGTACACCGAAATCCTTACGACGGTATCCGATCCAAGAGTCAGTGATTGGCCACTTATGGATTCTCCGATTCCAACCTTTGTCATTGTAGTATTATATTTGTACACTGTGACGATCCTTGGGCCACGACTAATGGCCAACCGGAAGCCGTTCAAGCTCAGGAACGCCTTGGTAGCATATAACGCCTTCCAGGTCGTCTTTTCCTTAGGAATGCTCTACGAGGTAAAAAGAGGGAAATAAAAATATATACTTTCAATTTTTCCAATATTTTTTATATCACCATATTATTATTTCGTTACCTTGGAGGATCGTCCGACTTCAATGTGCTGTCTCGATGACGGTAGCTTCTGGAAATTCCGAAACGTAACCTGTTTAACGATCTTACGTGTCTCTGAGTAAACCAGCAAACAGTCCTGTGACAACATATTTCGTATCACTAAATACAATAATTGTACGTTAACCTTCAGAAGTGGTTAGGACGCAGTCGAGATTATTTGACATGTGCGCGGGATATCGATATTACGTCCTCGATGCTTTTCGAGAAATCGAAACAGCTGTTGATACGACATTAGGTTATGTCGATCAGATTCCTTTAGTCCATGTCCCACCTTGACCCATTTTTGACAATTTTGGTGAACGTTAAACCGGTCAACTGGCCACTCACGGCTAAATCTACTAATTATCACTTGTGAAATTCTCATTTGAATACTAGTCTTACTTGAACGCCCCAGGTTCATTTTTACGGGTAAACGTACTACTGCGACTATTGGTATTAACAGAGAAGAAACATATGTACGTACCTGCGACGTAACTCATGGCTTTTTCTTTATTTATACCGTCTTTTACTATTGTTATCATTAATATCACATACGTTATTCATTCACTGAAAATACAAACGGATTTTTTTTTTCGCGGTTACTGACTCAGGACGGTCTTCGCAGATTCGTGGAAATTCATTAAAGATGTCCGACAGACTTTTCAATTGCCAGCATTTTCTTGCATCGTGCTTAACCAGTAGTCTGGGACGCTTTTGATTGGCGAATTTTTCTACGACCATCTGACGTGAGCCAATGCACAGTTGCACTTAGACTGAAAAAAAAAATGAAAAAATAAAATTGATGGCGAAATATCTAAAAAAAAATTCGAATCGCGTGTCTTTGTCATATTTCTATGCGGTTAGAGATTATCCAGTTGGTAATTGCACAACTGCAATTTGAAGGAGCGCGAAATGCGAATGTAATTTATCAAGCCGGTGCATCCTGTTTTCAAATGTTTGTGCAACCATCCTTTTTCTTTTTGCGTTGCATTATTCTTTTCCTCCTGCGTTCCTTCCTTCTCTTCTTTCTCATTCACTCTCTTCTATTTGACCCCTGTTGAAATTTCCAACGACTACTTTCGATAGCCAAGGCCGATTCTGGCGTGCGGAAAGCACATATTTTCAGACCGGGTGGAGTTGGAAGTCACTAGTACCAACATGGGCAGACCGGTTTTTGTAGAATTTAATAAAAATCGCAATTCTTAAATATATTTATGCCTTTAGGATTTAACGTTTCCTAGTTTTATTCTCACTAATACCATCTGGCCTTCTCTTTCTTTACAGCACCTCATGTCCGGCTGGCTCCTGGACTACAGTTACAAATGTCAACCGGTCGATTACTCCCACAATCCATCAGCACTAAGAATGGCCAGCCTCTGCTGGTGGTATTTTATTAGCAAGTTTACGGAATTCACTGATACGGTACGAAGTTCAGATTCTACAACAATAAACTATCAGTCAACAATCGAAAACCGAGTATTGCATAAACACAGTGGGTGTCTTCCTTAAAAAAAAAATATTTGCACATAAAATCATTAAGACGTATATATACTTGTATCTTACCATACTTGTATCTTATTATTTTTTTTTCTCTTTTCTCTAAAGCCTTCACTGTACGTACACGCAATCTCTTTACGTGGATGAATTAACCAGATAAACTTTAATCGACTCTTGCCTAATTGGCATTTATCCTTTCTATGGTATTGCCACCAAGAATTACAGTTGCGTACCGTCTTAAGAAATACAGGAGGATGTTGATAGGTAGGATAAGAGATGGTATTACTGAAATATATATATATATTCATTAACTTTACAGATATTCTTCATTCTGAGGAAGAAAGACAGTCAAGTGACATTCCTTCATATGTACCATCACTCATTGACCCCCCTGGAGACCTGGATATGCGTAAAGTTCATCGCAGGTGGACACGGCACTCTGGGCAATTTAATAAACAACGCCGTTCACGTAGTCATGTATGGATACTATATGCTCTCAGCAATGGGACCGGAGTACCAAAAGTACCTCTGGTGGAAGAAACATCTGACGACAGTCCAGTTGGTAAGGATTGCTAAAAGGAATTTCTATGACCACATCCAGGTGATAAACCTTAGAGTAAAATCTAAAAGGAACATCTGACATTACGCAAAGTCCAGTAACGTCCGGATATTCCACCAGGAGAAAAGTGAACGTTGTTATAACGAAAGACCGACAATGGGAGTGCCTATCAAATATTTATATAAGATTCTAATCTGATATAATAATTAATACGTATTCTTAACGTACTGCAGAGTCCAAGATAAAAGCAGAATGCAGTAAGAGTCAGAGATGAAAAGTCGAATGAGAGAGTAAAAGGGTAGTATCAGTAGCAGGCAGCAGCTACTACAGGGAACGTAAAAGTAGCTGGTAAAAGGGAACGGGTCCAGAGTCAGGGAAGGTAATGGGAGGGATGCTGCACACGATGCGAAGGAGCGAGTGCAATGAAGTTGGTTCGATCGATCGCGGCGAATCGGCTTGGTGGAAAGTCAAGAAGGTGAGAATGTGGGACATAGGGGAGAAGTGATCCAGTGTGTAAATGCGCGAGCTCGGGCAGAGCAGGAGACACGATGATCGTCGTGGCGTAGTTAGAGACGTAGGTGCGATAGGGACGCCATTATAAATCGTCACCAGAAACACCCTGGGCTGCCGGAGAATATGGTGGGATCTGATTCGTGGCCTACGCAGTAATGAATTCTGGGCCGTGCGAGCTGGGGCCGGCTGAGTGGTCGAACGAAATTTCGTAAGGGGTTAGGTGGAGAGGGACAGGAGGGGGCTGGGGGATAGGGTGACAGGAGGACAGGGAAGGGAAAGGGAAAGTGAAAATCACGTTGGGCAATTCCGAGTTGCTTTGCCAGTACGCGAATGCGAGTTCGCGTTATGGCGCAATAATTTGGCATTCCGATATGCCGTAGTGATGGTGGCAAGCAGAGCGCGCAAAATCCAGGTCTGATGGAATTTAGTTGGTTACCGATGTCGGTGAAAAGTTTACAAGAGGTTACGGGAGGTTGTGCTAGAAACTGATCGGGTTGGAATTTTAGTGACTGAACCTGACTAATTTTTTCTTTGTTTCTTTCAGGTACAATTCTTCTTGGTCTTCGTTCACAGCGCTCAGGCTCTTGTGTTTGACTGTGGATATCCCAAGCTCATTGCGGCACTTCTTCTTCTTCACTCCGCCATCTTCTTCGCTCTCTTCTCAGACTTCTATAGGCGGGCTTATCACAGACAAAAGATACAGTCGAGGACAAAAGAGCTAAAGGCCGAATAAGATTTGCTCTCTTGACCGATTCGGCTTATCGATTTCTTCATTTTCCTTTGCTTTAATTCTCTATTTTATTTACCACCGCTTCCGTCCATTCACATCATCCCATTGCCAAACACCATATTGTCATGCTATTACATTTGTCAGTTTCATTATTGTCCTCTTATGTCTCTTCTGTCAATGTCAGCGAACGATCGATCTGGGTATTGATCGCGCTGCTTGGTTAAAGGTTTTCAATGTTTTCCGGGCAGAATTAAGAAAATTCTAAATTAAGGTATACGGGATCGAATGATCTGTCTAGGTTTGTCATTATTTTAATGGGTCCAGGTTACTGTAGATCACTGTGTAATTTTATACCGTCATTATTGCCCGGTTCATTAACTGTGACTTTGACCCTTTGACTGTCTTTAATCATTCCGATCGTAAAATACGTCGTACTTTGCGATAGACATTCTTTCCGTAGGGAAGCTTATACACTCATGAAGAATAAACGACGAGCGCGCAAGGACGTGTAGAGTAAGACGTACAAAAAAGGTAACCTTTCATGAATGCGACACAAATTTAAGGTATTAACGTTGCCTTCGTTCGATTAAGACTCTAAAGCGTTATAAATTTAATTAATGCGTTTTTGTCATGTGATGCTGATGCGAGTGAGCTGATTCAAAATCTGAACATCATGAACTTTGATCTAAAGGACATTCCTAATTATTATACGTCAATTAATGACCTCTTACGCATTCTACAGTAACATGGAGAATTCTTCAATGAAAACCAGTGACTATTTACCTCCGCTTCTCTTGAGAATTTCTTGTCGCTTGCAATGGCGTTGGATCAGGTGGAAAATTTGCAATCCGAAAGTCACAAGACACCGAAATTATTTATGATCACCCTTCACGTGTCCAAATTTGACGGGAAAACGATGTGGAAGTACCGATGGAATTATTGTAATTCAGTAAGGTTATAAATAAGAGAGTTAGCGACTGACTGTCAAGAGGCAAAGAAGTTTATACCCCATCAGATATTTATCAGAAGACTTCCGATCGTTTTCATTCTAGATGGATTCAGTCGACTGACGTCAGGTCACTGTAGAAGTACGAGCGTGACACTTGTATCGAATGACAAATAAAGAAACCGAACAAAAAGGTATTAAATGTAGGAGCCGTAGGCCGCCGCGCGTCCACGGCTCACGAGGAATCGAGGTTTGCGGTTATCGATTTGATGAAATGCTCCATGCAACAGAGAAGCAGGAACGATTCACGTTGCGAGCGTCGAGATGCTGCCACCTCTTGTTGACACTCTAAGTCTACTTGTAAGCAATACTCAATCGGTAATAAATTATTTTACTAATCTCGTTGTTCGTTTGATGATCGTATCTGCCTGAGTTTGACATCCGATGGTTATGAATAGTTTGTAAATATTGTTTATTTCTTTCTTCCATTTTTTCTTTAATGAGTTCCTCATAAGCAGTTACGGTTGTCAATCTCAAGTGATAATGTTCAGTGTATCGAAAAAGTTTTTATAAGAATTCTTATGGAGATAGGACACTAAACTATTTTATATATCAAATGAAAATAAAGATTAACGTTTAATTTAATGACAGTTTTCTTCTATTTTTCCCATTTATGTACAGAATGTGGCTTTTCTGATTAAACCCACTGATACAGAATTATTGTACCTTTTACGATTCCTACAATATGAACGACGAGTATGGTTTTTTTCTTTATCAGCTGCACAAATTCTCTTTCAAGCAGCTGCAGCTTGATTCTTCCTCTTTTGCCTCTTGAGAAGTCTACGTTCACGCTCATATTCCTTCATCCTAATCACATAACTAAAAACAAATGTCCATATAAGAATGTTATATTCAGATAAATATAAATATTGTAGGTGATCTTACTCCTCAAATTCACAGGTTTCATATTTATGCTTTTCGGCAGAACATTTATATGTAAAGGGCCAGACATCAGCTAGACAGTGTTGTTGCTTCAGATACAGATGTACACAATAATCTCGAAACTCTTTGGGTACAAGAGCAGCATTCATCTCCTGTTCGGTAGCTTTCATTACTGAAAACATATCACACACTTGACCATTGGTATATAATTACACCACACAAACATGACTGAATAAAAATAAAATTCACTCAAACTCACTAAATTTTCAACGGTTCATGAAACAATTGACAGTTACTAGTAACTTAATTATTCACACTAAATCAGGTAGTTCAGAAGTTTTATTCGTTTGTTATGTCATAAGGACAAAACGGTCGTGAAATTAAACAAAGGAATCATGGATTCTTATCAGAATAAAAAGGAATTATACACAAAAATAGGCAATAACTTGTTGATATCATTTCAATTTTTTAAAATTTTGCTATACATCCTTAAAAACATCACATTTATTTGCAGGTTGTTCTTAACAGTTTGAGGTTATGAGCAAGAGCAATTACCTCTGGGTTTTCTACCATTTGGAAATCCAAGCATTGGATCGAATGTGGGTGGATGATTAGCTGCAGGTGTTGGATCCTTTTCCGACGTATAAAAGGCAGACACATTACCCATCTTTTCGAAAAACAGTTTCCTCCAGAATCTAAGTAGAAGCGACTTAAGTTAGCAGAAGAGGAAACCAGCCGCTTCTGAATCTCATACTGACATCTACTGGCACGGATTACGTAACACTACTGTAAAAAAGAAACTCAAAATTTCATAGAATAAGCGAGGGAAGAGTACGTACAAAAATTAATATCGATTGTACGTAAAACGTATTTTTTATTAAAAGTCCGCTGAAATAATTAGAGAAATGCATTAGAATTTTCTTGTGCACATATACATCGGTAACATACTATGTTTCAATCGCTTCAAAGTCCTTTTAATCAATAAAGAGTTTTATTACACGCAAAGATCATTGCGTCTGTTCCGTTCTGGTTGATACATTTTAAAAAAATCGATACTGTATTTGTGTAGTGTACAGTTTCTTATGAGCTTAATAACTAAAGTTGTTGGTCTTCCTCTTTTCATTTTAAGGGCGCCGCATACTTACTGAATGACTTTATCGTAGTACCTAATCTAATACTTAGAGATCTGTCCTACGATCAATCATCTTCTTCTTCCATTGCATCTGTTTTTGAATTTCCTGAAAAAACCATAGATTGCGTTGTGCAAAAAGTTGTTGTAATACATAGTTCAAAGTACTGTCAATACATACCATTGTGCTGTCTGTCATCACCAGGTATATGGCCAGCCTGTAGTAATTTACTGAGTCTCTGAACTTCTTCCAGTGACGAGGCATTTGATATGGCATCTCTAATTTTCAAACGTTCGTCTGCATTTGTTGGTGGTTTGTCCATAGTACTTATGCCCGGTACTTGGGTCTTTGCTTTCTTGGCTATCTCACGTGCCAGTTCTTTGCCTTTTTTACTTCTAAAGTATTCTAAGGCTGCCTCACGTTCCTTTTGTTTAATTTTTCTAAAATCCAGTAGGCGCAGCTGTGGCAATCTGTATATAATGTATTGTCTGTATTGTGGCTTTGCAGATACTGGATTTTGTAGAAGACACAAATTTGTCAGATTCTTAAGTGGTATCAGAGGTTCCAAATCGCCAAGTTCCTGAATCATATTTCCCGTAAGCATTAAAGTTTCAAGGTTTGGAATACAATGTTCAAGACCCTCAGCAATCCTGACAATGCGATTATTATTGAAGAAGAGCGTTTTGATTCTTTTTAATAAAGGAAAACCATCCAGCTTGCGTATGTCATTGTCAGAAAAATCTATTGTATCAAATTGGTCCTAAAAAGAACAAATATTTTCATATTACTACAATACTTTTTTCCTTTGGATAAGGTCATTAAACCAAACAAAAGCTTTCCGTACAAAGCTTCAAATTTTAATTTTACAGTAAATTCACAAACTCTATTTCTCTCATACTAAAATAATAATATATACTTACCAGTGTAGCTCCCAAATTTTCAATAGTGGGTATCTTATATCCTAAAACATATAAATCCCAGAAATAATATTCAAAAGCTTCATGTTGAGGTTATAACACAAGGATACATCGCACGATACCATTTACTCGTGTAGTATAAAGAATCTTACTTACCTCTCAGATCCAATTCACGATCTTTCACAGGATTAATATATTGCATGGATTGTTGAATTAAATCCGGCGTTAGCTTTACCATTTTAATATAACAATTTTATATTATCCAAATGCACGTTGAATTGTGTCACACTGCCTCAACAAGCGGCAAATCTACAGAATAACATCCATCTAATGCAGCCAACAGACTAACATAAATTTCCCCAAATTTTATATGAATCTAAAATTGTATTTCATCGCAAATGAATATTCCCTTTTCTTCAAGAATAAGTCATAAATAATTCATAATTGTACTCGTATAATATCAATCAATGCTAAAACGCAATCAATCGAGAAATTAATTGTAATATCAAAAACTCCAAACATAAATGCTCCTGTAACATGGCAACCCGGTATACCGATTACAAAAACACAAAAACGAATTTGCCTGTATTCAGGCGCAAAGGCGGCTTTTGACATTATCATCAATTAATATGTTAATAACGATAAATATCATTGACCATCATTGGTTAAATTAAAGTGGCTTATAATGACAAACAATTAATACTTAGAATACGATTCTTACTAGACCTAACAAACAAGGCTAAATTTAAATAGACTATTTATTTTTACGCTGCTGCACATCAATTTCTTCCCTCTTCATTAGATCCACGTAGAAACGGTTAACCAGTGCACGGTAACGTTCTCGCGAATCTTTCTTCATCAATTAACAAAAATTTTACGAAATAAATAAATGAATATCATATATAATTACTTAGAATTAAAACATTAGGTATCTTATATATTTATGTTACACGCAACATGTCGTAATAGCAGAAAATCACTATCTTCTTGATGTCCTTCCAGAAGAAGAGGTTATGTGGCTCCTGGGTAATCAGAGAAATTAATTTTTATATAAACATCCAGAAGAATCAGATATAAAAAGACACTAAGAGATACATATGTATATAGACAAGGTAAAGGTAAAGATAAATACCATAGGCAAAGTCATTAGAGAATTATTTTCTAGAAGCACAGCGGCATTGTCGCTTATTCTCAGTTGGCGTCGTCAACTGCCGTCGCAATTAAAGTTGGATGCAATCACAAACCTCGCGAAATATTATAAAAGTAGTTATAAATGACGAGAACAACTGCTATGACAATTGCGACATAGTAGTATATGTAAATATGTATATATATATACCGTTAGACATTTGGAATTCCAATTAGATTTCACGAACCAAATTCAATGTAAAATACAACGGCGGTGAATTCCGTAATATTTTACAATTAATGAAAAAAAAAGAACAAATCTTTCTCAGTTTGAATATATTCAAATCGCCAAAATCCTGTACTATTCCATGGTGAAATGTAGAATATTATTAAAACTAGTTTACCAGTCGAATGTTACTGATATAAAAAAAATCTATACACACGTAAACTCGTATATAATATTTATATTTATTAATTCTTATCAACCTTCTTTTTATCATACCAAATAACACTTTGGATCAGCGTTTTATTCCATGAAATCATGAAAGACAAGTTTTTTCAGTTTGTCCTTATATTCGGATACGTTGACCAGATGAACGTTCTGGAATTTAGGAATTCAAAATCAAGTAAAACATTAATCCTATACAGTCACTGACAAAGACAATCTACTAAGTAATGTAAGGTTCTACTGGTTTCAAGGTCTTTGGTAATCCCATGCCGTCGAACTCGTAGCCGTCGAGCTCTTAGACCCTTGAACCCTTGACACGAGTTTCTCCCGAAAAAGCTGCTTAAGCTCATCTTTATAGCCATGCTTGTTACTTCTTTCAACTACTTCTTCTTTGGGCTTTTCTTGATTCCCATACTTGATATTCTTAACTTTGCCGCGCGATTTTGACACATAATCGCAGAATTGACGATATTGACGATATACAGGGTGTAACTTTTCCGGGATCCGGTGAGGAAGTACCGGTAACGGCTGAGGATTCGTCTTCCTCTATTTATACTTGTTATCATAGGAATAATATTAGCCTGTAGCTAGCGCCTTATCAACACGATATTGTAATCGAACGATACACACTAGAACATTAATATTACTCCCACGACACAGGTACATATAAATAGAAGGAGGCAATTGGAAATTATTAAGAGAACGAATGAAACTGAACTTTTACTTACGATGTGCTGCACCTGACCACGAATTATGAATTTGCGTGATTGTTGAATGAGAATAGTCATTGGTTTGAGGATCGAAGGAGGATTGTTAATTGAAAATTTGCAGTAAAGTTGCGTACGGGCAACTGAAGATTCGACACAATAATTTAATGTAAATATAAAGTAAGATAACTTTATTGAAATAGATAATCAATATGATGTTCAATAGTTGAATACGAATTTGGAATCGACAACAAAAGACTTGGAAAGATTTTAAGAATCAGAAGTTGAATCTAAAATTTTAAATTACTACACTGTGTCATTGACTGATTTTTAGTTTTATAAAATAGCTTTTCGCATCACACCCAAGGCTTGTGACCACTTTTTTGTTTTTACCATAATTTCTTTAGGATGCATATCTTAATCTTGGTCGAATGCTAGCTGTCGATGTGTTTTCATTAGGTGAGTGACGGATTAGAATGATTCTTCGAAAATTAATATTTAGTTTATCGTTTCTGATAAGTACATAGGCAGACAATAGCATAATGCATCGCACCGGACAAAATACTAGTTAAAAACATGAAGTGTAACTGAAGGTTCTCATCCGGACGTAACACAGTTAAATTACGCGATGAATATTGATACGCAGTCAAAGTTCATGGCTTTGACGTGCGGTCTGTATTAAAAATCCATGTGCTTCGGTTTATCGTATGAAGACCCAGGTTCACTGGCCAACGAAAAAAAAAAAAAAGATCGCTACTGCAAAATCGATACGCGACCAATTCGTAAGAAGAGGTTAATTAATTATAAATAATGCAGTCTTTATCCGTCATGAAAGGCGAATGTTCAATAACCACAATTTAATTACAATTCATTGGGAATCGTAGATCACATTTAATAATATCACAAAAAATAAAAAAAAACTAATACCTCTTTTGCAATTGTTAATTTAGGATTCAAGCCAATCTTTTGGATACATCATTACCAACATTCATATTACACGTAAGACGTGTCTCAGCCAAATGACAATTATCAATGTCTATTTTAGTTCCTTTTGAATCATTATTATTATTTTATAGCTCGTCATTAAAATAAACTGCTTTCTACGCCGTATTTTTTGCACTTGGCCTGCGAAATAAAGTTGATTTGCTTTTCTTCTTCACTGCTATTTTATTTTTTTCATTTACTAATTTTTTCCCTACACAGGCTGCAAATGCACACTCGACCTTGCGCCAATTCGCGTAGATAGGAATACGAGAAGACACGTCCGGAACGGTATATTCATATGTATTACTCGAAAATCTTTATTATTTGATAATGGCCCATTACACTAGCACGCAATCGCATCACTGACTTGTCCTTGAGTTTCAATGGTAGCAAAACATACTTAAATGACTCGCCTACATGATCATAACTTTCGCACATTGATTTGAATATCTGATATAACGTACTCGGAATCGTATCTAGAAATTAATTTTGTTCATCGGGGTCAAGCTGAAAAATAAAATACATAAATTGTTTATCTATATATCAGACATACATAAACATAGATTCAATGTAAACTTCTTTGACTCGAGTAATAGCATGGCCAATATATAAATAATTAATGACCTGTTGTTATTGATATTAATATTATAATTATAAAATCATTTGAAAGCAGATCAAAAGTCCATGACGTCAGTCGGACATTATTAAGGGTACTTCTCGAATTCACTACGAGTATCGTTGCGTTCCTATTTTATTATACAATAAAGTGAGACACAACAATGCTTCCCAACTGTCTGTGAATTTCCGAACGTACTCTAATTACAATAGTTAGCCCTGAGGCCTCCCGATGGCCTCAATCATCTGTTTTGAGAATCGGCTCCTATTTAGCGCGGGAAAATTTGAAACGTAGAATCGTATCGATACGACCGTGTGTGAATATCATTAATACTGAAGTGATGTAATAACGGAAGGTTGTTTTTTTTTCCATCATCGATGGTTCGTATTTCATAATCAAGAGGAAGAACAGATATATGTGTGAATAAGCAATCCAATGACTTGCGTGATACGTGGTAACTGTATTATTTAATGTTTAGTCTTGTCGATTCGTTAATATCTGTATAATGAACTAGACCGTCCAGAAACGTCGAATGTATCATAGTAAACAATCTCAGACTGGATGTAATTCGTTGAGATAAATTCTTTTTTCCTTCACATATAATTTCAAAAATTCGTGCCATTACTGTCCGACACATCTGTGCAAATGTACTTTACGTATTGCCGTGCAGTAAACATGCGAAATGCGTAATAGTTTCATCACTTCAGATTGTCAACGTACGGTAAACAGTTTGAGCGAATAGCCGTCAATGTCATCGTAATTGGATGCAATAAGTACAAGTAAACTTTTCATGATGCATTATGGGTAATAGTAAAAAAAAAAAAAAATTATGTCCCTTATCGTGATACAAACAATACAATTGTCTGATCTAATAATTTGTATTTAATAAAAGGTATTTAAAAAAAATTAATCATAATTCAATAACGATTATTTTAATTCCACGGTAAGATCGTTGATAATAAAATTATTGTAAAATCATCGATCAATGCTATAGTCGTTAATGACACTAGAATTTTCCAGATGCCTCGATACATTTTATGATAATTTTTATCGTCAATCGTCACTTATGGTTATTGATGAAGAATTCATTTTGTCTAGAATTTTTAATCTACGTCAGCGTCATGACGCTTCTCGGCAAGCTCGTACAATGTAGGCCATTCGATATTTTTCCAGCATATTTTGTACGTGATAACGATATACAATATTTTTTGCGTGTAAACGACAATGTCTATAATGAGAAAAATTATGGAATCTATTTGCCGCGATCGGAAACAGTTTACCGTAAAATCCAGGATATCACAATACCAAAGCGGGCGAATACATTTCGTATATACGTATAAATCAGCGAAAAGTGACGTTCGGATCAATCACGAACATGCGTTGCGATTTTTAATTTCAACAGCCGCTAATTACCCAATGTATAGGACGTTACGATCGTCCGAGGAAGCAATAAAAAAATGTATAGTAGGCA